CGGGAGCTGCAAAAGTGGGTGCACGATCGGCAACCTCCCACCCTAATCAAAACAGCACAGCGGGTGGATGAGTACCAAGACGCACGATATCAGCAACAATTCCCCCTGGTGCCAGTTTGCCCAGCAGTATTCTACCCTAGGCCGCCTCTCCAACAGCGCATCTGGGGTTCATTCAAAAAGGCCACACCTTAGCTCCTCCATCGAGGTGGGACTACAGTGCCAAAGATACGGGCACAAAGAAAGTGCATCCAGGGAAGAGAAAAAGCACAGTGGATCAGTCTAGGACCACCACCCGCACCTCCAGCAGCTGCTCACTGCTACCACGCTGAGGCAGCCAGTCTCCCAACAACCTGCGCAACATGGGAGGAAACCTGGGGTACCCTTCACGAAGCCGACCAGGCTGTGGCAGACAACAGGCATCACCAACAACAGTCAATCCGTCTGAACGGTAGACCCTTTCAGGGTTTCCAAGACACTGAGGCCACCCTAATCCTGGTAAAGAAACACCTCGTGAAGGACACCAACAAGACGGGGAATTTGGTGGCAGTATGGGAGACTTATCGTCTACCCACTGCAAAGGTCCTCCTACACTGGGGCGCTGGCACCAGGATGGTGGAAGTTGGACTTATACAAGAACTACCTGTCCTGTTGGGCAACAACTTGGGTAGCTCATCTCTGCTTTTGTTAACCAGCCCGCTACCAAAGAGACTTACCCGGTGACAACCAGGCAGCAGGCCCGCGCAGCCGACAAATTCTCAAACTCCGAGGCTCTGGTAGGCGTGAGTCCCCTGCCTGTAGGATCCCCCACCTGGGACGCCCCAGTCGAATTCGGGAGGGATGTAATGACAGACCCCTCACTGCAGGTCTACAGAGACCGGGTCAGCAAAGAGAGCCAAGAGTAGTGATAGTGTTCTTTGCGGTAACTTTTGAGGTAAAACACCAGAATCCACCACACCATGGCTAGCCGATGACGTTTCTCCAGAGGGTGAAGACTATGATGGCCTTGGCCTGTTGTGGGAGAGTTTAGAGGATAACATGGTCTTTGGAAGTTTTGAAGACCTACTGGATCCCTCTGAAGCTACCAAGCAGGGACCAGATATGACCTATGGCTGCCATGGAGCGGGAGCTTGAACAGAATACAGGCGACTGTTCTATTCTGTACAGCAGCAGGCCCTAGGGACAGAGTATTTAATTAACTTAATACCCCAGGAGGTTGGCCTGTAGGTGTGAAAGGAACCGTGTTCTCCACATAAGAAAAACAAGGATGCTGGTCAGTTGGCTCCTATCGCCAATCTATTGGCAGGGGGACCCTAGCTGTCCCGTTCTCTACCCAGCAACAGAAGGATGATCAGGGAGGCAAGGCAAGTAACCTCGCTCCCAGTGACAGAATGGCTTCCAGGGAGTTGCGGCCAGCAACCTCACTCCCCAGCGGCAGAGGGATCCTGAGAGAGGGAAGGCCAGCAACTCCACTCCCCAGCAGCTGCATCAGGATGGGGAGATCAGCAATCTCCCTCCCCAACAACACAGCTGAGCTAAATGGGGGAACTTTGTCTAGAAGGCTGGTTACCCAACTAACTCGTACACAGACCGATTGGAGGTCTGGTACCTGGTTAGTTTACCCATACGGAAGGAGGGATTTGTAACAAAAGCTCCCATGCCACAACCTTTTGGAGAAGCGTAAGGGCCAGCCTCCTGCCCATGGACTATTTGACTGATCTCAAGATCCACTAAAAAGAGCAATTTTCACTAGGGGAAAGCGGGTATGAAGACCCCCGGATGCCTACTCTACCTCTCAGCCGGAATTGGAAACCTCTGGCGATTGCCTTGACCCATCCTGCACATTGAGCACCTGACCGGAAATACACTGGAACGGTCTGCCGGATTGGGACTATGCAGCAGTCAGGTGAATCTTTGATCGAGTATCTCTCCGTCCCCTGACCATCAGTAAGGTCACTCTTTGGACAGAAAGGGCTCTCAATTAAGAGCTATCTGTTGATATATAATGTGTGGGGGTTCTGGCCTGAAAGAGGGGATTTGGGGTGACATTTTGGCTCTGTTTGAGAAGGGACAGCAGAGAGTCCACCTGGTTAGCTAGGGATGTTGAGAGAACGATACCCACAGCAGCCTGATTCAGAGTAGAAGAAGTGCACAGAGACCCGAGTCAAGCTTCGGCGACTGGGTCTGACGCACTCTAGGGTCCCTGATAGCAGCTAGGAGGCAAACTTGGCAGAGGTACTTAGCCAGAGTACAGGAGTTCTGCTACACCTCTGATAAGCTTCCAATGTGCACAACAGAGGATCTAGCCTTTCAAAAACCTCCCAAATCTTACAAGGCAGATAGAGAAGTGTCTCCTCCAGTGATCGTAGCCATTTTAACAAGCCTTCGCCAGAGTATCAAGGCTGCTATTGGGCAAGTGAGGGAGGACGTTAAGGGGTTTACAGCCAGACTTACTGGCATAGAGGAGACGACAGTAACCCATAGTGTGCAAATAACGGACCTAAAGAAACAGGTCAGACCAGGTTGGAACACAAACTAGCGGTGCTGAAGGATAAAAGACAGTGGAAACACATGCAGATAAGAGGCCTGTCTGAAGATATCGCTCAGGCAGAATTGCCACACTTCTTATGCAGCCTATCGGTAAACTATTATTTACAGAAAGCCACTAAAAATATCTCCTTATATTTTTGAAGGGATGGAATTGACCTATTTCTAGGTATTTCTCTCACGCACAACTCTGCATTGGAGAAAAATCGCTAAGACCTGATGACTACTCTTTCTGCACATGGTCTGCAGTACCGACTAGGCTCAAAGAACTTAAAGTATCTGATGCCTCAAAAATAGACGCTGTTCTGTCTAACCTGGGTCTCGGCTCAACCTCTCAATCAAACACCTAAGGAACAATAGAGACTGCTTCTCCATTATGGGACCCTGCAAAGATCTCCCATTTACTCCTGCAAATAGGAGTGTGTTCAGTGTTGTAGGTACCTGAACAGTGACATTATACATATTTTAAGTTTTGTTACATTTTCATTAAAACACATCTAGTTTTTATTCTCCTTATTGCAACTGGTTTTGTATGAGTTAATGTTCTCTCCTAAAGCCATGGGAGTGGTTTCTACTTGCATTCATTGTCCAACACAGTGTTTTATGGTCCTTTGTTCGTACTATTAATTTTCCCATGGAAGACTCAGGTTGCCAGCTTATATGATTTTATCATAAGTCTGTTTCATTACAGTCAGAATCATCATACTATAAAGAACCCTGAAACTATTTCTTTGTAAATGTTTGTTTTTTTTGTTAAATATGTGCATCTTTATTGTACTTCTGAAATGTCCAACATATGTCTGACTGTGGTATAAATGAATAATTCAAAAAATAAAATCTGCAAGGTTTATGCTAAAATATCCAATCTACGACAGTAGTGGAGTTGAGAGAGTAGTTATTTTTTGCCTATATTGTACAATTCAAGATTTCAGTCAGCATTTGGTAAGACCTAAACATCGGGCCTGGATCTTAAAATGAATCATTAAAAACGGTCTCCCAAAAATAAAGTTTCCAAAATGTTAACGCTGATTATTCGATGGGGCAATACATTAAGGTCAAAATTCAAAATGTACCGGTGAATTTAATTCCGGTGAATTCACACAGGCAATTTAAAACTGGTGAATTCAAAGAGGTGAATTCTGTTCAGCCGAATTCACACAGGCAAATTTCATTCCTGAAAGAGGGCTTAAGAAAGAATAGACTTAACATGTAACACTAAAATTGAAATACCATCAATGTTACTATGGTATATGGCAATAAACATTTTCATTGTAGCACAATGTTGTATGTGCATTACGTTCGCCAGCAACAAATTTTTTCAGCTTCCAGGTTTAAAAACTTGAGGTAGATTTAAGTAAATACAGTAATATGTCTGAGAAGCAGAGAATATAGAAGAGTCCGCGGTTTATTTTGAGCAAACACGTTGCAGCTCAACGTTTGGGGTATCGTCTGAATGATGCAGACAGGACAGAGATCCAACGGAAGCGACCAGCAGAAACAGACCTAGCAAGTCACACGAGTTGCAATCAGTCGTCCTCATTACACGACAGAGAAAGCAGTGCAGGATGACTGCTGTGTGAGGGGATGTTGAAGTTCCGTGTTCTGAACGATGGGACATATTAGTTAATTCAAGAGCGCACTCCATGTATGGGCAGCACTGATCGGCTTTCTTGCGGTCACTGTGACAGCACACCACCTCTACAGGTGAACAGTGATGCTAATATGCTATTCACTCCCAAACTTGGCAAGACCGTGAAAACAAAATTCCTTTTAACTATATATAGTTTAAAGCTGCATTGTCACCCAACTTTGAAAAATTTGTATTTCATAAGAATAGAATACTGACAGAGTGAGAATTTCACTAAAATTCGAACCCAGTCAAGAGATCTACTGAGACAGTATGGAGTACTTTGTCTCTGTATATTTCCTACGCCTGACACTTTTAGACACAGGGCAGAGCTCCCGTCTTCTAGAAGAGATTATCCAAATGCTGCACAAACACGCATGCTAAAGAGACAGGAGCTGAAGAGGACTCACCGGAAGTAGATGGCAGCCTCTGCAGGGGACAGGCTCGGGTAAGTAGAACTCACCTTTGCCTGACCCACCCTACCCTAAAGTAATGCCACCATTAGGGGTCTTTCTGCAAAGATGGAGACAGTGCTGCTTTAAGAACATAAAAGGACTAGGTTAGAAGCCCATTGCTACATGCTCAACCAATTCCACCAAACGGATAAAATGGTGACTGTGCCGAGGTCTGTAAGTATCAAATAGGCTCCTTGTCCGCTATTTTAGTGACGGATCAGTTCCTTCAATACATATTCAAAAGTACGTCGTCTTTCCTTATCGCGTCAAAACCACGAGGCGCGTTCATAAACTGCAGAACAGTGCAATGGGAAGCGCAGTAACATATCAAAAGCACAGTTTGTGACAGAGAAAAATTTAGAAATCAGACAAGATACAGATAAATTTGTTTTTAATAAAGGAGTTAATTTTCTTTCAATCCTATATAAAACAAGAGCAGTTAAAAACTTCATTTTTTTTTTTTTTTAAAGTAAAATATTTACATATAAACAGGTAACTGTGCAAAATGTACAATGAAAAACAAAAGATGGAATTACAAGCTGGGCATTGAGGCGACAAAGTGATGTAACAGCTCAGGAGAATACTGATTAGAATTCAGTCTACAAGGCAGAGATTGCGGTAATAGCGGGGCTGCACACAAAGCCAGACTATATACACTCAGAAAAGTATTACCAATTGACAATTGAATACAGCAACCTTTCAAAATATAAAGAACCAAATAGTAGATTTTTTTCGTAATAAAAAAATAGATACAAAGAAAGGAGCTTTGCTCGGGTGACAGATAAAGTTTGTCGCCAAAGCTTGCATACGGTTCTTAGCAAAATAATTATGGTTTTTACATATTAATTTGTGGTACATGGGATCATTTGTGTTGGGAGACAGTCTTTCCCCACTATAATGTGCCATTACATAATCTACAGTAATTTCCGAAATGCAACTACAAGCAGGTCGAGATTTGCCCCACTCGATTTGCAGAACAGATCATATGTCATGATGAAGCTAAAATATTATTTTTATTTTTAAATAGAAACTTAACCCTTTCTGTACAAGTGACTTACTGCTTTATTCCTTTTTGCTTGTAGTCTCTGGTATAAAGAGGGTGAAGCAATTCAGGTGGATTTAAAGAATAAAAAAATTAAAAAATACAATTAAAACATACAAAAAAAAAAAAAAAGTACACACACAAAAAAATAAAATATATATATATATATGGGAAAAAAACAGTGCAAGTAAAATATATATGTAGGGTCATATACACTATTCATTCATTTGCCCACGCGGTACATCTCTACGAATAAAAGTAGAAGAAGCATTGCATTGGTTTTATTTAAACAAAATTTCTGTAGAGATAAAAACAATTATCCAATCTTTTTGTGGAAAATGAGATTAAAATTGAGGTTAAAGTGGATAAAAAAAAACAAAAAAACACTAAAATAGAGCAGATGTAGCGTGTTTTGCTCACAGTTAAACGTGAAATTAGTAAAATCCAGCGGCGAGGGGGTTTCTGAGATGCAGCACCCAATAGATGGGTTAAAAATCAATAAATACAAGAAAAAAAATAAAATAAAAGTGAGCTTAGCTGTCTGCAACACTGAACTGGCGCAAAAACAAGAAACCCTTAACTGGCTTGGCAGGGATGGCGTTATGCAGCCGAGAGATATCATTTACGGGGTTTAAAACTGTAAAAGTGTGTAGGGGAAACGAAAAAACCATGAAATCTAAGAATTCATCATCTAAAAACAGGACATAGCACGGGGTGGTTAAAATGGCGCTAGCTGTGATTAATAATCCGTATATGGCTTGGTTTGCAGAAGGCATCACTTCCAAAATCGTCGGTGTAACTGTCCGTTCCATTGTAGGCTTCCTCGCCATCTGTTTGCATGTTGCGGATCTTGCGGATGTGATGGATCAGAGGGTGTGTGTTTGGGGAGTAAAAAACCATTAATGGCTCAAAAAAAAAAAAAAAAAAAAAAGGTGGGGGATTATTTGCAATAATATCAAATTGTCCTGGGAAGGGGTAAGGGTGTCGCCTTTGCAAAAACAACAAAAAAATACCTTGCTCTTTTCCATTTTTGTTGAGTTTTTTGTGGTTTTAGGTTCATATTTTCACTTAAGGAATGCTTTGTATAGCAATAGTGAATGGCTAGTCTCTCGTTCATTTTCCAAACAAAATATGAGGTCCCTGAGATTCACCCGCGTTATCCTTTGTCGTGTAAACTGACGGTTACTTCCTCCCCCCGAGCTGCTCGCCGTCGCCGTACTTGTGCTGGATGACTGGGGAAGAAAAAGACAAAAAAGAGTCAGTACGAATCTCCTGCCTTCTGTGACTGTCGCTGTAAATAACGGAAATCTAGCCATTATAACCGGCATTCTTTCAATAAAACACTAAAATTATACACTAAACTGTGAATTATGGCAAACCAACTATCGAAATGAACATTTTAAATTAAAACACAAAAATTGGACAAATTCTCAGATTCCGCTATTTTGGCCTGAAATTTCCTGGTCAATTCTCTGCCAATACCAGTTTAGTGAATAGACCATTTAAGGTTTCAGATGTGTCAGTGTTTGTCACTAATAACAGAGCTGTTTGCACTACGATACCTGCCAAGTCTCATTACTACGAAGGTTAGTAAAACACTATTTGGGAACTATGGACTGACACCAAAGGTTTGTTTGGAGTAGAAAGCGGCGTGGCTCATTGAGGCCACGTATGAACAAGGACGACACGCAGCTAAATACAGAGTCATTCCTTAACAGTATAAACCTTCCCTGCCCCATTGTTAACAACCACTGCCAGAGAGGAGTACAGTATTTGTACACCAGGGTAGGTCAATGGTTAAATCTCCCAAAGAGAAAACGTTTGATTCTTTATTTCTACCAGATCAATCTGCAAACAGATTTCCTTCCTAGTGTCAGCGAGATGGTTGAATGCCCTAAACCACGTCCGTTCCTTATTTTTGCTAAGAGCATGAAAAAAAATATTCAAGAAAAGCTTTTCTCTGCTACACGAGCTCAGTGGAGTGTGAAGTATTATAAGATCAGAAGGCACTGCGTTATCGCTGTCAGTGTAATGCTTCGCTGGGGTTGGCTAGACGGACCATAGAATGCTTCAGTGTGAATCGCAAACATCATTAAAGCATCTGCAACATCTGGCTGGGAGTTCTGCTGCCCATTTATGCGGTTTAATCACAATAAGGAGATAGAAGAGATGTGCCCGGCTGGCACAAGCATGTGCGGCTGTTCTGTACTTTTCACAGAAGAAAACCTGCTCATTATTTGGCCATTCAGGTCCTGAGTTAGCTTCCTGCACTATCACAACAGCTGTCTAACAAGCCCCTAGTGTGTGCCACATGTCTAATTACTCACAATACTGACAGGCAGTCCCACCAGACAGCATAATGTACGGATCCGTAAATTACAGAGCTTTTACTTAAAAAGCAGCAATGCCCTGAGATTTTACAAATCCCTTATTTTTACTCTAATCTGCAAATATGGAGTATGGCACCTGGAAGCGTCTTTGCTAAAGGGGCAGCAGACCCTATTAAAAACCGTGCCCATTTAGCAACTTATTAAAGCAATAGCCCCGCTTCTAATCAGCAACTCTCACACCATTTTATCAAAAGGGGAATCTATCTTTAAACTTTTGCTGTCTTCCTACTGCCTGAGTTCTCAACATCACCAAATTACCTCCTCTTTCCACAATCACCCCCCTTCTTTCAATTATTATAATCCAACTCTTCTCTACCCCCAACCACTTACGCCTGCCCTCCTACCCACATCCGGTCCTTACATGTGCCCTTCTCCCTCATCCAATATTAGCACTTGTTGCCTACGTCTGCCTACTGACCCCATCCAGCCATTTACGACTACCCTTCTCCCCTAATCAGGCCCCTTATGCCTGCCCTTATCCCCATCCGTCCCCCGCCCTTGCCCCCCATCAAGCCCCTACACCGGCCCTCTAATAAGCCTTTCCTTCTTTCTATTAAAGCTCATTTCCACTGCCCATACAAGCCCTGCATATTGCATGTTAATTTGTCAAACATTCTCCATTTACACAGAATTATGGAATACAAACCTCTGACCCCGAACCGGGCCCCGGAGACTCTACTTTCCTCTTCTTTCGAGGGCCAATAGCTGCTAACGCTGTTAGATTTGCATCTCTCTGCCTCATCTGTGCCAGTTCCTGTTGCTGCATCTATGGGGAACAAAGAGTTTATAAACTGGATATTCTCTCTGCGACCAATCAGTCCATTTCCCGAATTCTCATGCATTTCGTACCTCCTTTGCTTTCTGTTTCAGCCGTAACTGTTCCGGATCTTCCTGCCTTGATCGAGACTGTTCAGGAAAAAGAAAGAAATGAGAAGACATCCACGGATTGTATATTGTATCGTTTACTGTCCCTGCCCACCTTGGTAGATAGCATTTTACAGAACGGGTGAAGGATGAGACAAGTATAAAAGATTCATGTATTGTATTTTGTAAAAACTCCGCCAGAAGCATGAGTACCTTAGCTGCCCGCATGAGAATTTCTCTTTCCTGCTCGTCTTTCCTCTGCTTCTCTATGTGGTCAAGCTGCTCGAAGAATTTGAGTTGTGTTCGAACATCAGTGGACTGTTCATAGCGATCATCCTCCTACAGAAACATAGCCGTGAAAAGGCCAGAGCATGAAACAAACAATATATATCTGGCTCTATGTTATTAGAATAAAGTTACTAAATACATTAAGAAGACTAGGCATGAATATATGGCAGATTCCTTTTAAATATTAGACCTTCAGAAGCTAATGACTGCAATCATGACACTGTGCTAGCCACCAGTCCCTTTCCTCCCTCCTCCCTCCACAGTCCTACATTAGCACAAAGTATCACCTTATGTGAGATATTTTTCTGCTGAGCCGTTTCTGAGATTTTTTCCACTATGTTTTGTAGTCGCTGTTGTGTGGCGTGGGAGACGTAGCCAACCACATCTGGATTGATTTCTGTAATCCCGTGCTTTTTACCTGTAGGAAGAGATGTCCGTTAAAATACAAAGAGGGAAAAAAGAATCCGCCGGTCTGTCGGACAGGAGGAATCGGTAGGATCGTTAGTCCTCAGAGTTAAACCAAAAGATCCAGCAATGAGGGGCCACAAATTGAACTTACATAACAATTTAGGCTGAAAAGGAGACTCAAATCAAAACGCTCAGGCAACCACCTGCTGCTACAGATCCAAAGGTATGTACGTAGCCCATCTGACAGAATTCGGATACATTTACTTCTAATCATGGAGTGTTCTGGTTTTATTTTAGATGTAGGCACACACAAAAATGTGTTACTTTCCTGGACCAGCACCACAGCCATCTTTTCACAGCAACTGTTCCTCGTGTAAGGAAATATTGGGACACCAAAGCATGCATGGCTATCACCGCAATCTGACGGCAAAATTTCTCATAGAAAACTATTTCCACTTTGAATGAGAGCTCAAAGCAAGTGGAGAAGGCAGCCCTAGGGGGCTTTAAACATGCTCACACAGGGACATGCTGGAAAAGCCTAAAGCATTTCAGCAAGCGGAGTGTTCCTTTAATAGATTAACTCCAGAACACTAGAAGTCTAAAAGGTAAAATAGAAACATAGATTGTGTCAGGGTTACAGAGGAAGCCCAGAGTGGGGGGTCTGGGCATAACGACACCATCAGCATCTGTTATGCATGGCGACAGAAGAGACATCTTCCCATCGGCTGTGTGTGAGCGTTAGGAAAGGGGACAGTAGCTCCGCCCACTGCAACGTCTTGTCCGTAAGATAAAGGCAGCCTTTTACTTTGTCTTCTGATACCTTATCACAGGGTTAAAATACTAATAAAATTCCTAAAGTCTTTCATTTCTATCTTCATAAAAAATAAAAAAAAATAAAAAATAAAACTCAATTGTGACTGTGGCCCCTGGTGGCTGTTAGAGGTGGTAAGGCAGCAGCCACGTTATATTTATCTATGAATTAGAAGCCCTGTGAAACAATGCAACGGAGAGCGCAGAATCGGGCGCATTGCTCTTCGCAAGCAAGCTTATATACAGACGCTCTCTCTTACATCGCAATAAGGAACATTAAGTTCTATATAGATTCATATAAAAAAAAACACGTTTAGACAAGGCCATTTCAATCCCAATTCTTTCTACTTCGATTTCATTGGCAGACGCTATACGTCTCAATTGATCTACAATGGGAAATGTCAGGAACCTATTGCATCATAGTACATATTTATCACATTTTGCATTATCAAAATACAGCCGGTGAATCTGAAAAGAACACCTACCGATTTCAAGTATCCTTCGCTGCAGTAATGACGGAAGTAGGAACGTCTCATCTTTACAAGAACGCGTTAACGTTCCCACTAGCTCAGAGTTTGTTGCCAAAATCCGTGCACTTTCCTCCGACAGGTTAACGCCCGCCATGGACGCTACATCATTTATATCGTCATCATCTCTGAATAAACAGGAAATTATTATTATAAAAAGATATCACGCATAAAAATGCATCAACAGACTCTAAAAAACACAAACACTGCATTAAGTAAAGATCCCACTTGGATCTACAGATCATGTATGGAATCTACACACACTGCTATAGGAACTCATGGGAGAGTTGTATGTTTCAGTGCGTGTGGCCGATACGCAAGTGATAAGTATTTCTTATTAATATGGAAACTAAATGCATATGGCATAACGCAGACCAGCATCAAATAACCAGAGCCTTCAGAGACCCTGACAGGAGGTGTAGTACCCTCGGTGTTTCTCCTTCAGAGACCCTGACAGGAGGTGTAGTGCCCGCGGTGTTTCTCCTCAGAGACCCTGACAGGAGGTGTAGTGCCCGGGGTGTTTCTCCCTCAGAGACCCTGACAGGAGGTGTAGTGCTCGGGGTGTTTCTCCCTCAGAGACCCTGACAGGAGGTGTAGTGCCCGCGTGTTTCTCCCTCAGAGACCCTGACAGGATGTGTAGTGCCCACGGTGTTTCTCTCTTCCTCAGAGACCCTGACAGGAGGTGTAGTACCCTCTGTGTTTCTCCTTCAGAGACCCTGATAGGAGGTGTAGTGCTTGGGGTGTTTCTCCCTCAGAGACCCTGACAGGAGGTGTAGTGCTCGGGGGGGTTTCTCCCTCAGAGACCCTGACAGGAGGTGTAGTGCCCGTGGTGTTTCTCTCTCTCAGAGGCCCTGACAGGAGGTGTAGTGCCCACGGTGTTTCTCTCTCTCAGAGGCCCTGACAGGAGGTGTAGTGCCCACAGTGTTTCTCTCTCAGAGACCCTGACAGGAGGTGTAGTGCTCGTGGTGTTTCTCCCTCAGAGACCCTGACAGGAGGTGTAGTGCTCGGAGTGTTTCTCCCTCAGAGACCCTGACAGGAGGTGTAGTGCCCGCGGTGTTTCTCTCTCAGAGACCCTGACAGGAGGTGTAGTGCCCGCAGTGTTTATCCCTCAGAGACCCTGACAGGAGGTGTAGTGCCCACGGTGTTTCTCTCTTCCTCAGAGACCCTGACAGGAGGTGTAGTACCCTCTGTGTTTCTCCTTCAGAGACCCTGATAGGAGGTGTAGTGCTTGGGGTGTTTCTCCCTCAGAGACCCTGACAGGAGGTGTAGTGCCCGTGGTGTTTCTCTCTCTCAGAGGCCCTGACAGGAGGTGTAGTGCCCGCGGTGTTTCTCTCTCTCAGAGGCCCTGACAGGAGGTGTAGTGCCCGCGGTGTTTCTCTCTCAGAGACCCTGACAGGAGGTGTAGTGCTCGTGGTGTTTCTCCCTCAGAGACCCTGACAGGAGGTGTAGTGCCCGCGGTGTTTCTCTCTCAGAGACCCTGACAGTAGGTGTAGTCCTCGGGGTGTTTCTCCCTCGGAGACCCTGACAGGAGGTGTAGTGCTCGGGGTGTTTCTCCCTCGGAGACCCTGACAGGAGTTGTAGTGCTCGGGGTGTTTCTCCCTCAGAGACCCTGACAGGAGGTGTAGTGAACTCAGCATCTCACCTGAACGATCCTCCACCTGGCTCTTTTAATTTATTTTTCTGAGCGGCAGCAATCTGCGTGGTTATCGTGGACATTGTTTTGGTGCCCGGTAGCACAGTTGGTTTGACAACTGGAACTGTAAAGAAATTAAAATCATACATTAATTTAAAAAAAAAAAAGGAAATGCATAATCTGTATCAAACACATCTATTAAACACAGCACTGCAAAGTGGTTGTTTAAGACTGTTTCACCGGGATATATAGATAGATAGAGATATATGCACACATAGTCCAAGCCATAAAAGTTATAAGTCAGTTTGTGAAATTTCAGCCCCGGTCTATGGTAAGTGCTATTATTGAAAAGTGGAAATGTCCAGGAGCAACAACAGCCCAGCCATGAAGTGCGAGACCATGCAGGCTCCCAGAGAGGGGTAGCGGAGTGCGAGACCACGCAGGCCCCCCCAGAGTGCGAGACCACGCAGGCCCCCCCAGAGTGCACACCACGCAGGCCCCCCAGAGTGCTACACCACAGCAGGCCCCCAGAGTGCCACACCACGCAGGCCCCCCAGAGTGCACACCACGCAGGCCCTCCAGAGGCGACACCACGCAGGCCCCCCCAGAGTGCGCATACAACACGCAGGCCCCCAGAGTGCGCATAACACGCAGGCCCCCAAAGTGGGACACCACGCAGGCCCCCAGAGTGCGACACCACGCAGGCCCCCCCAGAGTGGGGTCGCGGAGTGCGAGACCACGCAGGCCCCCCCAGAGTGGGGTCGCGGAGTGCGAGACCACGCAGGCCCCCCCCAGAGTGGGGTCGCGGAGTGCGAGACCACGCAGGCCCCCCCCAGAGTGGGGTCGCGGAGTGCGAGACCACGCAGGCTCCCAGAGTTGACTCTGGAGCTTGGGAAACGCGTTTGCTGGAATGATGAATCGTGTATCACTATCTGGCAATCTGATAGAAGGATCTGGGTGTGGAGGATCCCGGGAGAAACCTACCTATGGGAATCCATGGTGCCTGCTGTCAGGTGGAGGAGGGATAATTGTCTGGGACTGTTTTTCAGGGTTTGGGCTTTGGATACAAAGACATTTTAGAGACCTGAGAGCGTCTAACTTTGTGGTAACAGTTTGGGGAAGGCAGTGTCCTGTTCCAGCATGACTGAACCCCACTGCACAAAGCAAGGTCCATTAAGACTTGTTTGGAAGGAAATCGAGAAGCTGGCACAGAGTCCTGACCTCAACGCACTGAACACCTCTGACTGCAAACTAGACCTTCTCGTTCAACATAACTGCCAGTCCACAAGTGCTCTATCACACACATTAATACAGACACAGAAATGCAATACAATATTGCATCCAGCTTGTTCTCATCTCTCCTGTGTATTCATAGCTATAAAAATAACAGGTTCTTATTCGCTGCTGGTGATACAGAATCTCCATAGTTTTCATTATTATTTTTACAAAGTAACAATGACTGCCTCTACACCTAAAACGAGATGTACCAATTACACAGACATACACGTCACTTTAGTTAGGTAACAAACACTGGGAATATTATTTCTGGAAAGGGATTTTCATGTAACAGTGTCTATTTAACACCATTTCAGCTAAGTGCAGCTACTCGTTTGCATGCTGATATTACAGTCAGTATTTGACAGGTTCCACATTTTGCGTTGGCTCAGTATGAGGCAGGATATGGCACATTTTGCAGCCTGCCCACGGAGGACACATACTCACCAGTTTGCATTGGATTTATTTGGATCTGCTGTGGTGTAGTCAGCATTAACCGATTCTGAGGCTGTCTAAGTGCTACCATAGGCGTCTGTGTCAATGTGACTTGTGGAGGACGTACCACGGCACCTGCTTTGTGCGCTTGCTGGATAACCTTGGATGGAGGAAATAAACAGTTATCAAACGGTGGACTCAGGGAGCAGTAACCTCACCTATCTTAATGTACATTTACTGTGCTGTATCCCGCAAAGTATTCGTGTTCTATCTTTGTAGTGAGAGACTTGTAGGTCACCTATCGAAGCAGGGCTTAAATGAGACAATGTGACATAGCACCTACAGCACAGACATTGGTCACAGGCAGACACTACCATGGAAACTGGCAAATATGAACATGGAAACAGAGCCTTATTCACTAAGCTGAAGAGTGTGGAAAACTGAAAAGTTTAGAACAAAATAACAGACAAAGGATGAAACTTTGCTATTTATCAATTAGAGCTACAAAGCCATGAAATTTACAGTCCCCTCTCCAATTGTGCACAATTCAAAGTTTTGTGAAAAATAACTAAATATTCCCCTTGCATATCACAGTATTTATATGGTTAAACTGTTTAGATTTGCCAGGATTGGATTCCCTGGGATATGAGAAATCCCATTGCATCCAAGAACAAAAGAAATGGATGTCTGGACATGTGAATTTCTAGTTTGTAATAAAGAACCCATTTGTGCAGCGTCAGTCCCTCGTACTGCACCCCAGATACCCAGGTGGGGGCAATGTACCAGTGGTGTAGGCTGTCCTGGCTTGGTCTGTGCAGGGTGAGTGAGGCTGATGACAGGCTGCTGTAATGTATTGGTGACGGTGGCAGTGGTCTTCCCAGCCGTGCGCTGAACCGAACTGCTCAGCATGACTGCAGTAAGTGCTGTGGTGGCCTGTGAGGAAGGTTGCTGTTGCTGACTCTGCTGGATGAAGGCTGCCGAATCAGGCGTCAGCTGGCGCAAGGCTGGAAGGCTTCGCTGAAAAGACGAAGAACAACAATTAAAGGTGACAAATAACTTCACTGCCAGCAGAATGTGCGAAGTGTGAGACAGAAAACATGGTTTTATTGGCTGCAAAGCGGCATTTAGATCTTACCTTCAGAAAAGGCACAAGGTAGGGTTGAGGTGAAGAATTCAGTTCTCTGTATAATCTGCTGGTGAAATCCTCAGCTTCGATTTTTCCATCCTGTAAATATAAAATAACTGCCAATTACGCCACTTTGCCTTCCTCCTACCAACTACTCTGTATAGTTTTCAATTACCCACACGAACAACGTTCCCCCCTCCCCTCCCCCCCACACCTAGGAAAGGTGTATCCGGTACAGCCTTCTTACCAGCAGATTTTGGACGAGTTCTTTCACATTAGCCGCCGTTTCGGAGGACTGTTTACCCGATGAAGCCAGCTTGATTAGCGTAGATAAAAAATTCTTGCATTTCTTCACATTTTCCATAGTTTCCTACACAAAAATAACAGATAACGATAAATTGGGTGCCAATTGGTTACATTATAGCATGCTTTTCCAGCGGTTTGACATTTCACTCATTCCCTTTACATGCTAACAGTTACTGCAATTACACTATTAATATTCCCGCCACTACCTCTTGTCTCATCTCCGTGTTTAAACCTTTCTATCTAGTTAAATACTCTGTATAAAGATCTCGGGTGAGGCCTGTTTAACATTTTGTATACGTCTGTGTATAATGTATTTTATTCTCCTTTCCCCAATTGTACACTGCTTTGGAATATGTTTGTGCTGCAGAAATGCTAATAATAATAATAATAATAATAATAATAATAATAATAATAATAATATTATTATTATTATTAATATAGAATTAAACCAACAGAAGTTCACACGACAAAACTACTATCACCTTTTAAAGAGGGACGGTCACACCACATTAGCACAACCAAATAACTGGATAATGCTTGTGATGTATGCACACATGCGCCATACATACATCACAAAAGTTAAAGGACCACTATAGTGCCCTGAGGGTGCCCCCACCCTCAGGGTCCCCCTCCTGCCGGGCTCTGGGGAGAGGAAGAGGTTAAACGTACCTCTTTCTCCAGTGCCGGGTGGGGAGCTCTCCGTCTCCTTTCCTCCCTCTTCTCCTCCTCTTCGGCTGAATGCGCATGCGCGGCAGGAGCAGCGCACGCATTCAGCCTGTCCATAGGAAAGCATTCTCAATGCTTTCCTATGGACGCTGGTGTCTTCTCACTGTGATTTTCACAGTGAAAAACGCGGAAGCCCTCTAGCGGCTGTCAATGAGACAGCCACTAGAGGCCAGATTAACCCATTTAGAAACATAGCAGTTTCTCTGACCACTGCCACCAATTTCTCTGAAACTGCTATGTTTTTAGAAAAAAGGGATAACCCTAGATGGACCAGGCACCCAGACCACCTCATTAAGCTGAAGTGGTCTGAGTGCCTATAGTGGTCCTTTAACCATTTTACATTACTTTAGGGACACTCCAGGCTCCCACACACGTTAGGTGCACTGTGTAGGTTAGGTTACAGTTAGTTATACTGGGTGGGTTTATATTATTAAAGGGACACTCCAGGCTCTCGCACACGTTAGATGCACTGTGTAGGTTAGGTTACAGTTATACTGGGTGGGTTTATATAATTGAAGGGACACTCCAGGTTCCCACACACGTTAGGTGCGCTGTGTAAGTTAGGTTACAGTTATACTGGGTGGGTTTATATTATTAAAAAGACACTCCAGGCTCCCACACATGTAAGGCACACTGTGTAGGTCAGGTTACAGTTAGTCATACTGGGTGGGTTTATATTATTAAATGGACACTCCAGGCTCCCACACACGTTAGATGCACTGTGTAGGTTAGGTTACAGTTAGTTATACTGGGTGGGTTTATATTATTAAAAAGACACTCCAGGCTCCCACACATGTAAGGCGCACTGTGTAGGTCAGGTTACAGTTAGTCATACTGGGTGGGTTTATATTATTAAATGGACACTCCAGGCTCCCACACACGTTAGATGCACTGTGTAGGTTAGGTTACAGTTAGTTATACTGGGTGGGTTTATATTAAAGGGATACTCCAGGCTCCAACACACGTTAGGTGCACTGTGTAGGTTAGGTTACAGTTAGTTATACTGGGTGGGTTTATATTATTAAAGGGACACTCCAGCCTCCCACACACATTAGATGCTCTGTGTAGGTTACGGTAAAGTAGGTTATACGCTTGCAAATATATGTTAGGTGTATAGTTTCGGGTTTGGTAAGCCTTTCAGAGATGGGCTGATGGGGTAAAGCAATATAACTGAAATGGTTAACGGAGAGGAGGCACTCACCGTGGTAGCGGCGGCCGGGGTAGCAGTTCCTTGTACTGGTCTCTGAGCTGCTCCTGTCTGTACAGCAGTTGCCGTACCCAATGTGGTGGTTTGTGCTGTGCTACCAAGCACAATCTGGTTCTGTGAAGGGGAGACAGTGGCATGAGGATTATAAACAGGCATTGCCACATCTTTACCACCGATTGCGCGCTACACGTAAACTAGAGCGGTCTCTGTATTCAGTCATTAACCAAGCACTTCTACACTGGGTGGAGAATATTAAATTCTAAAAGGCAGACTATAAAGTCTTTATGAATACTAAATGGGTCTGCATACTCAAGCAATAAAGGGGTTCCGCAACAACGATACCAGGGACGCAGTGCGTTACCAGTGTAAAAGCAGCGGGGGCCAAGTCAGTCATGATGGTGTTTCTACTGAACTTCCTCTGTTCAAGAAGGAACATCTTTTTATTTTGCATGAAATCTGCACACCTTCCTTATATTATTCTAGTTTAAATTTGGGAGAAGGGAAGTTTTCATTGGCCTTTCCTGAGCAGGAGGAGAATATAGGAAATGAGAGAAACGTACAATTGCTTTCCTAAGCAGTAGGGATCGACCGATTATCGGTTTTACCGATATAATCGGCCGATATTCGGTATTCTCGGCAATATCGGTATCGGCCAATTCAGATACCGATATTGCCGATAATACCTCCTGGGACCGCCGGGCTCATTACAAGCCCGGCGGTCCTGGGGGGGGCGGAGAGCAAGCGCTTACTCACCTCCCAGCAGCTCCCCAGTGCAACTCTCGCGAGACCAGCGGCCGTCAGAGCGTTGCCATGGATCACCATGGCAACGCTCCGCGCGACACGCTGGCCGCGAGAGTTGCACTGGGGAGCTGGAGGAGCTGCTGGGAGGTGAGTAAGCGCTTGCTGCCCGCCCCCCCCAAAGCTCAGCAATACCACTGGACCACCAGGGACTGCTATATCCCCCCTCCCTGGCCAGGTAACAAGCAGGGAGGGGGGACAACAGAAATAAATAATAATTAAGTAAATAATTTTTTTTTTAATAATTTAATAAAAAATGCCCCCTCACACACTGCATTATATACACTACACAAACACACTGTGTATATAATGCAGTGTGTGTTTGTGTAGTGTGGGTATATAATGCAGTGTGTGTTTGTATAGTGTGGGTATATAATGCAGTGTGTGTTTGTATAGTGTGTATATAATGCAGTGTGTGTTTGTGTAGTGTGTATATATAATGCAGTGTTTGTGTAGTGTGTGTGTGTGTATATAATGCAGTGTGTGTGTGTGTATATAATGCAGTGTGTTTGTGTAGTGTGTTTATATAATGCACACTACACAAACACACTGCATTATATACACACACTATACAAACACACACACTCTGCATTATATAAACACACTACATTCACTATACACACACTACACAAATACACACACACTCTGCATTCATTATATACACACACACTTTGCATTTAGTATATACAGCATTCACTTTACGCACACTACCCACACACTACACAAACACTCTGCTTTCATTATATACACACTACACTAATACACACACTAGACAAATACACACTGCATCCACTACACAAACACACATTGCATCCTCCACACACACTACACAAACACACACTGCATCCATAACACACACTACACAAACACACACTGCATCCACTACACACACACACTACACAAACACACACAGCTCCCCTGTCATACTGCATCCACTACACGTGGCATGTATATTTTGTGCATTTACCTTTAGAAATAGTTTTTATTTTCCAAAATGGTAAATGTACAGAATATCGGCAAATTATATCGGCTATCGGCCTGAAAGTTCACAGAATATCGGTATCGGTATCGGCTCTGAAAAATCAATATCGGTCGATCCCTACTAAGCAGCAGGTACGTTCCAACATCTTCCTTCATGGTGTGGAAACACGTTCTAATCATATACAGGAAAAACATCTGGCTGCTATGAGAAAACAAGATTTATTGAGTTATAGATTTCCTGTGGCTTGAGTCAAAGCTCAATTCCTTGCAATACTGTCTGCATTGCTACAGACAGATCAGTATAATAAGAATGAGCTTCCAGTCAATACCCAGAGATGCACCACGTTTGGTTGCGGCACTTCCACATAGAGACCACTGGGTGGCAGGCAAACCCCATGTAGGGATTAGTACAGGTAGAGTACATTATACACCGAGGCACTTCACTCGTTTACTTTAGTAGAAACAGGCCATAAAGCAAAGCAGCAGAGGGGTTTAGGGTGCACAGGTTTCTACCCTTGTCAATGAAGATGGACTCTGCATTGGAGGAGGAGGTGGTGAGGTAGATAGGATAAACTCTGCAGTTTCCATAGGGGCAGAAGATTGGCTTGGCACTGGAGGAGGAGGTGGTGAGGTAGATAGGATAAGCTCAGCAGTTTCCATAGGGGCAGAAGATGGACTCGGCACTGGATGAGGAGGTGGTGAGGTAGATAGGATAACCTCCTCACTTTCTATAGGAGCAGAAGGTGGTGAGGTGGATAGGATAACCTCTGCAGTTTCCATAGGGGCAGAAGATGGACTCGGCACTGCAGGAGTAGGTGGTGAGGTAGATAAGATAACCTCTGCATTTTCCATAGGGACAGAAGATGGACTCGGCATTGGAGGAGGAAGTGGTGAGGTGGATAGGATAATCACCGCAGTTTCCATAGGGGCAGAAGATGGACTCGGCACTGGAGGAGAAGGTGGTGAGGTAGATAGGATAACCTCCGCAGTTTCCATATGGGCAGAAGATGGACTCGGCACTGGAGGAGGTGGTAGTGAGGTAGATAAGATAACCTCTGCACTTTCCATAGGGACAAAAGATGGACTCGGCACTGGAGGAGGAGGTGGTGAGGTGGATAGGATAACCACCGCAGTTTCCATTGGGGCAGAAGATGGACTCGGCACTGGAGGAGGAGGTGGTGAGGTGGATAGGATAACCTCCGCAGTTTCCATAGTGGCAGAAGATGGACTCGGCACTGGAGGAGGAGTAGATAAGATAACATCTGCAGTTTCCATAGGGGCAGAAGATGGACTTGGCACTGGAGGAGTAGATAAGATAACCTCTGCATTTTCTATAGGGATAGAAGATGGACTCGGCACTGGAGGAGGAGGTGGTGAGGTAGATAGGATAACCTCCGCAGTTTCCATAAAGGCAGAAGATGGACTCGGCACTGGAGGAGGTGGTGGTGAGGTAGATAGGATAACCTCCGCAGTTTCCATATAGGCAGAAGATGGACTCGGCACTGGAGGAGGAGGTGGTGAGGTGGATAAGATAACCTCCGCGCTTTCCATAGGGACAGAAGATGGACTCTGCACTGGAGGAGGTGGTGGTGAGGTAGATAAGAGAACCTCTGCAGTTTCCATAGGGGCAGAAGATGGACTCGGCACTGGAGAAGGAGTAGATAATCTCTGCAGTTTCTGTATCAGTTCAAACTACTCTAGCATGACGTTCACACAGCGGTTAGAAGCAGCACAGACTCTGAGAGATATGGTTCAGCTAACTGTCGAGTAACATTATGTGACTGCTGCAACTTCTACAAGAATTATTGGACACAAAATTCACTAAATAATCCAAACTCTAAAAGCTCAGGAATGGGGGTTAATAACTGGTAAACAAGCATTTACGACTACTTGTAATATGTGAACAATGGGATATCTCCTGCTACATGACATCATCATCATCTTGCACCTTCACTCTGTCAGATCCCGCAGAAAGGTCACTTACCTGGACAACAGGGGGCCGCTGTAGTGTGGTGGTTTGCTGCACGGTGGTGGGTGTCTGAGATACTTGCTTGATGATGGTGGTGGGGGTTACCTGTCGTGCCAACAAAGGGGCTCCAGGAGACTAAAAAAAACAAACAAGGTAAATGGTGAATGACGTGATAAGATGCAGCCAAGCCAGCCACCAAAACAGGTAACCTGAAATTACCAGCACAAACCCAGCTGGAATGGAGTCTTGTTGTAAGGTGACAACACCTTGCGCTGAAACAAAGTCAAGAATATTATTCAGTGCAGCCAACTGACCGCATCCACCAGTTTCTTAAAGCATAAAAATGCAGCAAACTTTAAAATGCATTTCTAATTATTTCTTTCTATTCCAATAGCTACCATCTCTGCTGGAAAGTATTTTATTCTCTAAAGTGCTTTTAGTTTTTCGAACATGGTGGGAGGAATCAAATACGGAAGGCAAGTCCAGAAAGCACTGTTGTATAATTAAAGGGACACTAAGCACCAAAACAACTTCAGCTTATTGAAGTGGTTTTGGTGTATAGTTCATTCCCCTGCAGTCTCACTGCTCAATGCGCTGTTAAATACTCTTTCTGTTAATGCTGCTCTAGTCACACTCCCCTGGTTGTGACTCACACAGCCAGAACGGAAAAAAAAAAAAAGTTTAATTTTAATCACATCTTAAAGCACAGTGTGTTTACATTAGAAGTTATCGCCTGCTGTGTTAATTAACCATTAAATCACACATAGGGGGCTGCTGCAGGCAAAAAATAGAGTAGGGGATAAGAAATTCTAAATTAACCCCTTAAGGACACATGACATGTGAGACATGTCATGATTCCCTTTTATTCCAGAAGTTTGGTCCTTAACCCCTTAAGGACCAAACTTCTGGAATAAAAGGGAATCATGACATGTAACACATGTCATGTGTCCTTAAGGAGTTAAAGGAACACTCCAGGCACCCAGACCACTTCTGCCCATTGGAGTGGTCTGGGTACCAACTCCCACTACTCTTAACCCTGCAAGTGTAATTATTGCATTTTTTTATAAACTTCAATAATTACATTGCAGGGTTAGCTCCACCTCTAGTGGCTGTCTACTAGACAGCCACTAGAGGGCACTTCCTGGTTTCTAGCACAGGAAACCTGTGCTAGAGCGTCGCTGGACGTCCTCACGCTATTGTTTTCCTGGCACTGGAGTTTCCCTTTAAGGGGTTAAACAGAGTTGTGCAATAAAGTAAGTTTAAACTTTAGATCTCTCTTTATAGGAAGTTTTAGGAAGGCTTTGCAAGTCACATGTAGTGAGGTGTGACTAGGGCTGCATAAACAAAGTTATTTAACTCCTAAATTACAGAATTGAGACTGCGGGGCATGATATATACACCAAAACTGCATCATTAAGTTGTTTTGGTGCTTAATGTCCATTTAAACCTGACACTACTAAAGAACAGATCAGGATGTCACAGAATAAGGCTGAGGAGCTGGGTTATCACTATTCTAAATTGGACTCACCTGCACTGCAGAGATCTGAACTGAAGGGGCGCTGGTGGGAGTTGCTGGCCGGGTAGCCATGGCATTCTGAGATTGTGACTGGGCCTGAGCTTGAACCTGAGCCTGCATCTGGGCCAGCGCCTGCTGCGGGATCATCAGCAGTTGCCCATTCTCACTCCGCACAAGGACCATTCCTGTGGAACAAAGACAGGTAGAGAGTTAGTGATGAACAAGTGGGGCTTTCCTTCCGCGGGCATTTAACTCAGATGAGAAGTTAGTTGGGGGTCTCGCCATCTTGTATACCCCTATATGAACGTGGGCCAGAAGGCAACTCATAGCCAAGCAGCATTAAAGTACTTCTACAACAGATGTATGATTACATTTTTGACACCTTGCCCAAGAGCTTGTGATCAGGCAATACGATTGGTATTGTTTGCAGCAATGTAAACACATAAATTGTCACTGCTTTTCTCATCAGAGTGAAACAAACCTGAACATAAACAAATTTACAAAAAAACTTCACAAAGTTACCGATAAATACTGGCATTTATTTTAATGTACAACATACGCCTCTAACATTGACTGTTGTTGGACTATACCCCCTATCGTCATGTTCTCTTATTGCATAGAATTATGGGAGTTATAATAAAACAAGCAGGTTATGATTTCGCAGTAACTGGGGCTCTGTTGATCAGAACTTTGGGGGAGACATATAAAAAGTGTCTAGATGAGAAAACCAGCAGAACGGAGACACACACATACCGCTGCATTTTTGTTAAAATGTTTTACTTTAGAAGACAAAGCAGATCCAAAAGGTGTAGGACAGTTGTTTTACTGCCGATTGTGGGGAGCAAAATTCCACTTTTCTGAATCTCTTAATTGCACCACAATTCATTTACAACTAGCAACACAATGTACAATGTAAAACATTGTTTTGCAGGAACGCAACGTTACAACGTGAGGGAGAAAAGGCTGCAACTGTACAAGTTTTGTTCTTGTACACAAAGACTGTTTAGACATCCTTATAGACAGAAATAAGACGGACAGGATCATTCCCCGCGTTAGGAGCGGAGGCCTGGCACTATAACCAGGAGTACCGCCCCACTATGAATAAATAACTGATTATCTCACTGGAAGGCAAACTTTAACCCCTTTAAGACTAGGGTGAAGATAATCTATACTTGGTGTGAAATTCCTGAATGGGTTAAAGTTCTCTCTGCAGGTTATATCATTTCAATACAATTCTAACAGACAGCGTACACCTTATCCCGGAAAATAATAGAAAGAACAGAACGCTAAATATATCACTGACGAGCAAGAATGTATATACAACAAGCGCACACACTACGTCTGTTAATTTCTACCGAGTATAACCCCTGATAAAACGTCTTCCCAAAAAGTCCCGTTCTAGAGTGGCGCTTAATGCGAAGCCCTGTCTGTTCTCTAGGTAGGAACACATTGTATTATATAGAGTTGAAAACGGAAACGTGAAAAGTGCAAACAGATAAACAATAGGTGAACTAGTGAACATTTTCACAGCGTGTCTGGAGATCGTGGTAACGACGTATCATGTGACATAATAAACGTGTGAAATCATATCCATACAGCTCAATGTTAATAGATGGAAGGAGCCTCGTTCTGTTCTGAACAGTTAGATACAGCGATACCAGCAACTGGGATTTTTTTTTTTCTTATTTACGATGAGCGTAAGGAAACAAAGTTCACCTTAATTTCACTTAGCTTTGTGGTCAGGCAGGAAACTTGGCTGAATAAGACTGGTGGCGGAGGTTAGGGTTGATGTATGCAGGCCAAGGTTGCCCAAAAATGTATATCCCCAGATGTAGAACTACAACTCCCAAAATGCTTTGCGCGCCTTTAGAATGCTTTAGAATTACAAAGCATCATGGAACCTGTAGTTTTGGGGATTGATAATTGGCGATCTACCTTTTGGGCAGCCCTGATGTAGGCGTTTGGTTCCAACCCAGCATTGGCGGTTAGTGGAGAGTTTATCATCTGCTTCATCTACCTCTTCATTCAGTCACTTCTATTTCCAACAAACATGGGCCGGTCTGGGGGAGACTTATTTCCTTACCTTTTACCTGTCATGTTATCCATTTGGAAAATACATTGTGACTACTCTACAGTTAAAACTGTCCGACTCCAACAGTTACAAGTTTATTTCAGAAGTTTCTGGCTGCCGAGCTTGACTTTGTGTACATGTGTCACGTTTCTTACATCTTTTATAATAAAAGTATATAGGCGATTATGTTATGGACACCCCATCTCTTTTCCATCTACCTTGGGAACACTTTATCACAATGGAATTGGAACCTGGAGTTATAGTAACTGAATGTGAACAGAAGGTCAAACTGCCCACACAGTGTCCCTCCCAAAAACTACAGCTTTTCTTGACTAAAGGTTGCTGTTGTGCTTATGGTGCCATGAGTGCTCTGGCGCCCGCCCCGCCACAAGAAGTCAAACTGTATAATGGGAACAGAGTGACCTAAACAGAAGGGTAAACTGGGGACCTACATAAAGTGTCAATGTGTCAATGTTCCGTCCCCAGTGATAGTGACGATCATCACAATCACTCTCAGGAAAAGCGATAGAATCTGAACTGCGGAGCTCAGACAGACAGAAGCAGGTTCCTAAAACAAACAGCCAAAGCAGATCACCCCCTCAAAAATATAAGTCCTATACTACTAGCCAGGCATTTGAAATAAATTGCCACAGCATGCCTGGAGGGACAGTGTCACACCACTGTAGAATAATCACTCGCCAAAGGCTATTGGAAATTCGGAGCAATTACTATAAAAGTTTTAAAACTCAGTAATTTATCACTGATTATCATTTATTTAGATCTTTGATTAATAAATAGATCTGTTTAGCAAGGTAAAAGTTTAGTTATAGTGCTACTAGCTTCGCACTCTAGTCAATACAAAGCAGGGGGGGTAGGGGGGAGGGAGAGAGGTCAACAGTGCCGAGGGAGCCAGGTGCTGGATTAAGGTAAGTGGATGAGCCTATAGTGCCAGGAAAACGGGTTTGTTTTCCCAGCACTATAGGAGCCCTTTAATGTTATGCAGAATATATATGTATGTGTGTGTGTGTGTGTGTGTGTGTGTGTGTATGTGTGTATGTATATATATATACACACACACACACACACACACACACACACACACATTCACATATCTGCACACACACACTAAAACTAAAAGTTTAGGTTGTCTATCAGACTGGGCTAAAGTCCCACATCTTACAGTTCCCCTTTAATACTCCCTGCCATAGTTTCAAAAATACCCAAAGTAGGCTGCAGGGCAGGAAGTGGAAGCCAGGTGCATGCTGGGAAATCGTTTAACCCTATTCTCACTTGCATGACCTGATTTAGGTACTTACAACTTACTAAATAAAAACAACTCCCACCTCCATATTACCGAAGCGTTAAATCCACAAACAACTTAACTCAACATATAACAAGTTCCAGCTTTTGGCCACCGGCGTGAAATATAATTCAATTCAATTCATTTAGACCGACGTTAGCAATTTCAGGTATCCAAAAGAATTTTATTTACATTGTAAAATGGTCTTTAAATGAACAGCACATGTATATTTCTGTATAGAATTAATTGGAGCCCACCCCTAAGGAAGAGACGTTCATGGCTCCCATGCTGGGATTATACCAAACAAGATTTGTTAGCAGCTGCCAGTACTGTTCTTTTAAATGGTAGACTGCTGTCGTTTGCCCCACTGGTTTACATATGGGCCCTACGTTAACCCTCCCAATTATTGAGAACCCCTAATAGGGCCACCACCTTCAGCCAGTCACACACACAAAGTATAAAGCCAATTACATATTTACAAAAAAAGTACTATTTTTTTTCTCTCCAATTTTATCAGCATTTACACAGTTCAGTGACAAGATGTGCATAAATCAGTTTGTATTCACCAAAAAGCTACAGATAGAAAGACATGGAAGGAAAGCCAAAACCTAATAAATGGAGTTGGGGGTGTTTGCAATCCGAGTACTTATTGCATTATCACGGTGCCACGGTTACAGTCTGAGTAGTTTACGGGTACATACCCCCTTATTTTGTGTAAATTGTTTTTGTGGCGCTGGACACAAGCTGGGTGACTGAATTTTACAATACCCGACCACATTAACACAAAAATAAGAAATGGCAAGCACTGGGCTAACGTTTCCCAATACTCGCTTTTACCCACCCAGTGGATATACCTTGCACAGATCTACCCAGCGCAGGGAATTAGACATGTAAGTGAAAACAAAGCAAACTTCATTAGAAAGCCACAACAATGTCATCCTCAGCTAATTGTGCCAACCCGAATATTAGGTGACTCTACCAGCGCTGTGAGAAATAACAGCCAGCATAGTAAGCTGTAAAACAGGGACACTATTCTTGGGGAATCAAAGTTTCCCATCCATTAACAGGCTGCGCTGACAGCATGCTACAGCTGGATGAGCCCAAACTGAACGCAGCAGGGAGCGAGGAAGTCTTTATATATGTAGACATCTATAAGCACGCCAGACTCCCCAAACCATCACTACGTCAATCTCCATGGCAACCAGAGTCATCAGTCTGGCTTCCTCTCTGCGCATTGGATTTTTCCTGCGAGCTGCTCTCATTCTGTCACCAAGTAACGGATGCTGTGTGCAGCGGCAGCCATGTTTACAGGAACTCCCTGTCTCAAAGTTTCCAGACATCGCTGAGGACGCGCTGCAATTCCAGCGTGCAGCCTTACTACACAGGTTGGAATACATATAGGTGGGAAGAGATATATAAACCAAGCACAGGAGAAAGGATTCATCTGTCAAGGTATACACAAATTACAACAAGGAGCATCAAATACCAGCTATATAGTGTGCTAGATTTAAAGTAAAATAAATACATGGTCCCCCACTTGTCAATCAATTCTGATAATCAAAGAGCATTGGAAGCAGCCACCTGTCTTCCGTGGCAACTACAGATTACACGTTGTAGTTGCGGAGATTATTCATCTGGCAAAGAACGTCTCATGCACTACCAGAGAAATAATGGAATGGCCTGACAAATGTCCGTTCACACGTCGACGTGCAGCAATGAGGACATTGATGGAGTCGCAGGGGAGGAATGGCCAGGCAAGGGACGTGTTTCCAAACAGAGCCAGTCAGATAGGAGACAGGAGGGAACCCAGGATGAGTGTTACAGTAGTTATGGTGACAATGCTGGAGATAATATTTATATTTTATATTTATTCAAGACTTCCCAGGACTTTTAATATTATGTTTACTTATCTCTGTATTTATGAGGTGTGAAAAATTAAATAAAATGTGGAAATCCACAGCATGTTATCCTGCATCTGGACGCCTCCATCTGATCTCCCTGTCAATCATTGTTATAAGCTCCGCTTTTTGCACCTAGAAGTTGGCACACAGAGAGCATGCAGAGAGGAGGAGAAATGAAAAAGTTTCTAGTTTTTATTTGCAATGTGTGCCCTGGCTATGGCTTGTCCGAAAAGATTTTGATGAAATTTGTTAAATCTTTAACAACCTTAAAAAGGGACTCTTTAGGCACCAAAATAACTTTATTTTAATGAAGCAGTTTTGGTTTATAGACGATGACCCTGCAGTCGCATTGCCATGGGTTTCCTATGGCAATTTCACAAATACTGGATGTTCTCATGCAGAGCGTGAGGACGTCCAGCGTCATTTGACCACCTAGTGTTCGGTAAACTCCTGGAAGCACCTCTAGTGGCTGTCTGGTAGACAGCCACTAGGGCAGGGCTTGACAAATCCCAGGGATTTGTGAGCCTGTTCCCTCCGAGGCAGGCGGGTGCCTGGATGCGTGTTCTGCAGGCGAGAGAACGGCAATCTCCCTGCCACTTAATGATGTCGGAGCCGGAATGAATGACGTCACACCGGCCTCAGCATGACTTAGCAGCACACAAAGGAAGCAGAGCAGCGACATCACAGCTCCCTCGCTGTCAGCCTACAGTATGCGCAGTTGGCCGCTGGCCTTCGCTGTTCCACAGCCAGCCGCCCGCCTCCACTGTACCCCAGCCAACCGCCCACTGGTCCCCAAGGAAAACCTATCCACTCCAGCATTCCCAAAGGTAGGGAGGCTGGGTGGAATAGAATTGTATTAAAACAAATAATCTGTTTGTATATCTGTGAGCGTGTTTGTCAGTGTACGTGTGTATCTGTGTGTGTGCGTCTGCCAGTGTATGTGTCTATGTGGTTAGGTGACTAGCCCCCCTCCAATCATGTGGGAATGGTGTTTCCAACTCACCTTTTTTTTTTTTTTCTCCACACTGTTACAGTCTCCCCGTTGCTGGCCCCGCCTCTATGGCTGAGATAATCACAATTGATTACCTCTGCCAATCCAATGCTTTCCCAAAGGAAAGCACTGAGAAGCTACTGCACATGCACTGCAAAATGCTCTGCTAGTCAGCATCTTCTCATAGACATGCATATCAATGGGGAACATTCAGCGCCTCCATGCAGAGCATTTAGGTGCTGCATACTGTGCAGCACTGGGATAGGAAACACTTTAGTGGCTGTCTGAGAGACTGAGAGGTATCACTAGGCAGCAATGTAAACACTGCCTTTTCTCTGAAAAGTCAGTGTTTACATTGAAAAGCCTGCAGGGACAGGCTATAGATACCAGAACCACTACATTAAGCAGTACTGGTCCCGATGACTATAGTATCTCCTTAAGAATTGTATTATTGTCATTGAAAATAAAGTTTTGTAAGTTTAAAAAAACCTGGCTCCTAACTTATTTAGCTGTCTCATAGATTCAAAGCAAATTTGTCAAGCCCTGTACTAGAGGCTGTCTAAGTCCTGCAATGTAAACATTGCGATTTCTCTAAAACAGCAATGATTTACATTGCACGACTAAGAGGGACAGGGACACTGCACCCAGATCAATGAGATGAAGTGGTCTGGGTGCCTATAGGGTCCCTTTTACATAAGACTGAAAATGAAACCATTTTTTCATGCAGACCGTGTGAATCACAGCCAGAGGAGTGTGGCTAGGGTTACATTAACAGAAACAAAAGCGATTTAACTCCTAAATGGCAGAGAATGGAGTAGTGAGACTGCATGGGGATAATATATACACAAAAACTGCTTCATTAAGCTAAAGTTGTTTTGGTGCTTAGGGTCCGTTTAAAAACAGAGAATCTCTTGTATATTGTATTTACTCAGCACTTTGCAGGCTACATTACAGTAGAGGAAGGTACAGTAAGTGCAGAAGGTATACAGTGTGTATATATATATATATATATATATATATATATTGCTAACTCAGCACTTTACAGGTTACATTACAGTAGAGGGAGGTACAGTAAGTGCAGTAGGTATACAGTGTATGTATAGTTTAGTTTATTTATATAGCGCTAACAGGTGTACTCAGTACTTTACAGGTTACATTACAGTAGAGGGAGGTACAGTAAGTGCAGTAGGTATACAGTGTATGTATATTTTATTTATATAGCGCTAACAAGTGTACTCAGCACTTTACAGGTTACATTACAGTAGAGGGAGGTACAGTAAGTGCAGTAGGTATACATTGTATGTATATTTTATTTATATAACACTAACAGGTGTACTCAGTACTTTACAGGTTACATTACAGTAGAGGGAGGTACAGTAAGTGCAGTAGGTATACAGTGTATGTATAGTTTATTTATATAGCGCTAACAGGTGTACTCAGTACTTTACAGGTTACATTACAGTAGAGGGAGGTACAGTAAGTGCAGTAGGTATACAGTGTATGTATATTTTATTTATATAGCGCTAACAGGTGTACTCAGTACTTTACAGGTTACATTACAGTAGAGGGAGGTACAGTAAGTGCAGTAGGTATACAGTGTATGTATATTTTATTTATACAGCGCTAACAGGTGTACTCAGCACTTTACAGGTTACATTACAGTAGAGGGAGGTACAGTAAGTGCAGTAGGTATACAGTGTATGTATATTTTATTTATATAGCACTAACAGGTGTACTCAGCACTTTACAGGTTACATTACAGTAGAGGGAGGTACAGTAAGTGCAGTAGGTATACAGTGTATGTATATTTTATTTATATAGCGCTAACAGGTGTACTCAGTACTTTACAGGTTACATTACAGTAGAGGGAGGTACAGTAAGTGCAGTAGGTATACAGTGTATGTATATTTTATTTATATAGCGCTAACAGGTGTACTCAGTACTTTACAGGTTACATTACAGTAGAGGGAGGTACAGTAAGTGCAGTAGGTATACAGTGTATGTATATTTTATTTATATAGCGCTAACAGGTGTACTCAGCACTTTACAGGTTACATTACAGTAGATGGAGGTACAGTAAGTGCAGTAGGTATACAGTGTATGTATATTTTATTTATATAGCGCTAACAGGTGTACTCAGCACTTTACAGGTTACATTACAGTAGAGGGAGGTACAGTAAGTGCAGTAGGTATACAGTGTATGTATATTTTATTTATATAGCGCTAACAGGTGTACTCAGTACTTTACATGTTACATTACAGTAGATGGAGGTACAGTAAGTGCAGTAGGTATACAGGGTTTGTTTATATAGTAGTAACATGTAGTTTACTGTAAGCACTGTATAGGGTATGCTATTGTTTACAAACATTACAAATTGTATTTGATATCTCTTACCCTCGTGTTTGTAGTAAAGGAGGACAACTGGCTACACCTTCACCCCTGGGTTATTTATATCATGGAGTATTCATCTTCCAATATTAGAGAGGCCGACGGTGGATAATGAGGGGATTATGGGACCTTTGTTTAAAAGAAACATTTAAACTTTAACCAATTTCATAATGGGGTGCAATTGATTAAAATCAAAGCTTCAATAATACCCAGAACAGATCATCTTGATTTAGAGCAGTATCGGCTTATCCTGGCATTAGGGGCGAGATTTATAAGTTTTCTTTTCTGAGAAACCGTGAAATTCACTAGCGCAAATCCACGGGAGAAACACCCCCCTTTTACATCTTTGCACCCCTTTTCAGAACAGACACCAAGAGTCACCTTCACGAAGCAGAGCCACGACACCATGCATCGTGGGAGATGTAGTAAAACATTTGGTGTGCTGAGGTTCCCTATCACTAATTTAAACTATTTGTACAGGGTCTATTTCTGCAGTGAGATAATAAGCATCCCTATACAATGCACATACATACACTGTAGTGCTGTACAAAAGTTCAAAAAGATGTGCATATTGTCTTGCATTAATTAGTTACACTTTGCACAATATTTTTTACTGATAAATCTCATTAAATGAGCACATAGTAATAAAAAGGCTATTAAAATCAAGAAGTGGAAATAATTAAAATGAAATACTGAGGGGTTTATTCACTAAACAATTAACTGTATTGAAGTGAAAGTTAAAATGCAACATTTATACTAAAATCCCACCCAGTGACTATAGCGAGATGGAGAGTTATCCCAAATCAGTATTTTTGCCAAAAACTTTGCAATTTGTTGAAATCGCTACAATTCGGAGTTTTGTGAATAAAATGTTCCCCAGATATCGGTGACCTATTTTACAAACTACGCAGGCCAAGTGTCTTTAACGAAAATTTTTAATTTATTTTAATTCCCATCCAGCCTCGGCTTCCGTCATATCTTCTCCACAGATCTAACGTTCTTTAGGAAGAATAGCAAAATGTTCATTGCTTGAGCTAAGCTTTCTGTAAAATAAGCTCTACCTCCGGAGTGTTTAGATATCGGAAAGTTATTTTCATGCACGCTCTCGAACTAATAAAATACCTATAATATTCAAATCTCACACGTAAATCAAACAGAACATGAAAAACAAATAACCAAATCACAAAAAACTTGGGTGATGCCAACTCTAAAGCGCACAACAGCACTTTAGAGCCAACGTTTCAGATCGGCTGCAATCCACTGCGACCATGCCAGCATAACATGTCACAGGAAAACAGATCATGGAAATATCATGTGCAAGACACACGTGAACACATCCTAACAAGATATCCACTTTAAACTGCCCACATGTCACAAAATGGTTCTTAATTGAACTATATTGGGTCAGTCTAGCAAACAAAATAGGTCTTGGGTCCCAGAGTAGGATTCCAATTTTCTAGAAAATCAAAGATTTCAACCTGGAGAAAGTTTGGGTCAAAACACGGCTTTATTCACCGAATGTCAAAATGTTGTTAAACTGAATTTAAATATTAACCTTTAGGCAAAAATCGTCAAATATTATTCCACTTAACTCTAGACCCAGATATTTTATTTTCACCGAAGTTACAATTGTCTTTGGTGCTTGGTGAGTAAACCTCAAAATTAAAAAATATAAGCCCATGAAAATAACTTTGTTTAAACTTTTTCAACTGAAAGATAAGAAAATAAAATATTGCACAGCTTACACTGAAATTTTGGAGAGGCTAGGTGCCTGCATCTTCCAACAAGGTTTTAGTGCTATGCGATAGTCTTAGTTCCTGGTTCAAAGTATTCCTCTGGCATACAAATCTTCTCGGAAATGTCACGTGAAGGCTAGAACACTATACAGAGGGGTCTTTTGGAGACGCTGACATATAAACGCATCGTATAACCAAATCAAATTACAGGGTCCTTCCTAAATAATACTAGACTCACTGGGCTGGCTCTGGGTCAGTGGCTACCCGTTGCCAAGCAATGCCCCACAGCCCCGGACACAACCGGAGATTTTTATTTGGATATTAAGTTTGTGGCGACAAACTGACAGCTGGGTGTACGTAAACACAGAAAGGGTTATTAAGGATGAGATTGCAAATCAGCTCCTGGTAATGAGGAACAGGTAAGGATATTCAAATCAAAGCACCCAACACCTCTGGCAGCCTCTGACCAGTAACCGATATACTGCTGCTTTGCATTAGGAATTCTGTAACAAATATGAGCAATGCAAATGCTAAAATTATATCCCCGTCTTAACTTAGAGAGAACGGAGAAAAACTATGTTACGATTTCATAAAAAACACTTCAAGAATCTGGATAAATGCAATGCATTACTTGGCAAAGTAAAGAAATCATTTAAATGTTACAGGAGCTGAGCAGTAATAGGGTTTTAATTGGATACAGGCTATAGAACCAATGAAAAATATCTTGAAATCATGAATATTAACCCTTTTTACAGTTTCAGCAGCCAACAGTGTAAGCGTTAACAGTGTCTGATAGTGAAACTGCAGCATACCAGGATCCCCAAATGCCAAGTTCACATGCATTACCAAGCAGACTTCTAGGGTAAAGGGGCACTCGGGGACACGAGAAACCAGGGCAGACCAGGTAACCTGTAAAGGAGTACAGTTCCTAAACATCAAGCAATTTGCAAATAGCTACATTTATCCAAAGCCACAGAAGTTGTCGGACAGATAACTCTTATCCAGCGTAACATTTGCATCAAACTATAAAGACTGCATGCAAAGATATTAACGTGACAGCACGACTGGTCCCAGATTCAGAGAACCACACAGTGCCATATCATAACGCAACATGAAAAGGGAGCAGAGAGTAACTCCGAATGTGCCCGACCCAGAAATAACCCTTTCACTTACCTGGAGGAAGTTGAAAGTTCTGGATGTTTGGTGGGTTCTGAGGTGGCTGGGGCATACGAGGTGCTAGAACAGGAGGATTCATGGTTGCCCTGATGCCACCAACCGCCGCTGTAGGAGTCCTTGGCAAGTTTGGAGGCACAGTGCTGACTGTAGCTTTTGCCATTCCTGTGGGGGTACCAGGAGCATTATTTGGCCCGCCAGGTCCTGGATGTCCTGCTTGCATAGTCTGCCCTATCACCATGCTACCAGGGTTGGGCTGGCTCTGCTGGGGGGGCTGAATAATAGTTTTAGGGGAGTCTGACTTTATCACCTGGCTAGTTACAGAGTTGGGCTGACTGTTCATTTGCAAAGATACCCCAGCAGAGGGTGTCAGGGGAGAATTGATCACAGTATTACTTCCATTCTGCGTTGCTGGCACACCTTGATGCATTAGAGGTCTCACCAAAGCTACGGTGGTGGGCACACTAGCCATTCCTGCTTGTTGTCCAGCTGCCCCAGCAGTTGAAGTCGATGAGGAAGAAATGACAGAAGCTGACACATTTGTTGTCCCAAGAAAAGAAGCCTGGATCACGGTGTTGGCTCCTGTATTTACACCACTCTTGGTGACAGGAGCTGGGCCATTGTTCACCAAAGTTACAGCGGGTGCAGGGTTGCTGTTTCCCTGGTAAGAGGTACCATGCCCACCAGGTCCGTGAGAATTAATTACAACATTACTCCCATTCATTGTCTGAAGGGTGGCTGTCTTTCCATTTCCTGGACTGTGGTTTGACAAAGTTGTTGCTAAGGTACCCAGGACCCCAGCTTTAGCTTGGCTAAGAGCCCCTGGTGTCTCCGATCCAGCAGTCTGGGCTCCTTCCTGTGGTGCTGTGGTTTGCGGTCGACTGTTATTGATAACTCCTCCCGTTACGCCAGCTCCTAAGAAACAGAAAGAGAATGAGACACAAGTAGTAGGACATCGCTGCACATCCAGTGTTACGTGAAAAGTTAGTGAATAACTCAATAACGTGATGAAAAAACACTGCACTTCATAGCAAAGCTTGTCAGAGAGAGTTTTCCCTCCACAATAACCCAACGTCCCTACCATCATCCCACGAGACATCATAGCCCCAAACAAAAGCCCTAGGAAGGCTTTTTCCCCCATATGTAGATCAGTGGGATTTCATTAGCCCTCCATAAAACTAAACTAAACCCTCAAAGAGCCTGCCTGCCCCCCTAAGCGGTAAGAGCTTTACACTAGACAACTACACACCCCTGATCCCCTACACACAGTCTGTCTGCTTCCTTACCGCTGCAATACCCCCAGACACCCTCAAACCAGCCCCTGCAGCACACAGACACCCCAAAAGCTCCCCCTGCCCCCTATAGAGCCCAGACACCTGTAACTCCATACATGGCCCCCCATGCAGCCCCTGTTCCCCACATGCAGCCCCTGTACCCCCCATGCAGCCCCTGGGGGCCCCTGTTCCCCACATGCAGCCCCTGTACCCCCCATGCAGCCCCTGGGGGCCCCTGTACCGCCACATGCAGCCCCTGTACCCCCCCATGCAGCCCCTGGGGGCCCCTGTAACACCCCATGCAGCCCCTGGGGGCCCCTGTAACACCCCATGCAGCCCCTGGGGGCCCCTGTACCCCCCCATGCAGCCCCTGTACCCCCCAGCCCTGCCAGGCCGCCCCCAGCCCACTCACCCGCCTTGCTGATGTCTGAGGGGAGCCCCAGCTTGGCCTCGGGCTGGCCCCCGGGGCTGGAGACATGGTTGGCCAGGGCCTGGCTGCGGGCCTCGGGGGGGCCCTGTGGCTGCTGGTGGTGGTGATGGTGGTGGTGGGTGGCGGCCGCTAGCTGGGACTCCAGGGAGCCCACCAGATCGCTGACCACTTTCTCGTCCACGTCCGTATTGAAGAAAACCTCATCCAGCAAATCCGAACCCGCCGCCATCTTTACTCCGCCGCTCAACTCAGGAGGGCAGCGGTTCAGTGCGCGTGCGCGGCTCGGCGGTGACGTCACGGCGGAGAGAGCCGCTCATTGGCCGGCGCCGCCCTATATAACGGGCGGGCAAATGGCTGCGAGCGCTGTGTGGGGAGCGGGAGGGAGCCGAGCGGACCTCTGGGGGGAGGGGGAGCCCGGGCCGGGGGAGCTGCGGGCAGGGCCCGGACACACAGCGGGGCTCGGGGGATGGCTGGAGAGACAGCATGGAGAGGGCCCAGCGGGGAGACCCGGGGAACCCCCAGCTCATTGTCTGCATTCAAAATGGCTGCGGGGTAACCGGGGGGGCCACACCTGTAATACCGGGGTAACCGGGGGGCCACACCTGTAATACCGGGGTAACCGGGGGGCCACACCTGTAATACCGGGGTAACCGGGGGGGCCACACCTGTAATACCGGGGTAAACGGGGGGGGACCTGTAATACCGGGGGGGCCACACCTGTAATACCGGGGGGGGCCACACCTGCAATACTGGGGGTAACCGGAGGAGGCGGGGAGCCAGCTCTTTATTCACATGGCACCACTTTATATACACCGGGGCAACCCCCCCCGCTTTTATATACACCGGGGCAACCCCCCCCGCTTTTATATACACCGGGGCAACCCCTTTTATATACACGGGGCAACCCCGGCTTTTATATACACCGGGGCAACCCCACAGCTTTTATATACACGGGGCAACCCCAGCTTTATATACCCCCTGCTTTTATATACACCGGGGCAACCCCCTGATATATACACACACACCCAGGGCATCCCTGACGCCCCGATATTAAAGAACCTTCTAGCTTACCTATTGGGGCATTATGGGCGGTTGGTAACTGGGGGGTTATTACACGGGGTTGTGAGGGCAGTTGGTCGCTGGGGGGGAATTAGAACATGAAGACGTTATTGCATTGTTTTGTGGGCAGAAACCTAACTCTGCTGTAGAACACTTCAATATTATAAATAAATGTATTTATTGTGATATTTGTGTTCCATCACACCTAGCAGAGAGCACATTGAGAGAATTAGATATTTCTTCTCCATAGTAATGTGTGCCAGGTCTAAACTGGATTGTTAATGCTCTAATATACATTTATTTTTATTTATTTTTTTAAAAAGCATCACATAAAAAAGTTAAAGAAGAAACATGCCAAGCGTCATAATCACGACAGTCCTCTTTAGTAGTTATGGTGGCAAAAGTACCCCCTTCCCCAAGGGCAATATCCACCACAGTGGGCAAATTGTTGGAAAATAGATTTGAACCAATTAATCGCTAAATCAAACATTTTCAAGAAGCAACATGAAAAATACACATCCAGCTTCTAGTTCAAATATTTTGGCCTTGAATTTGCAATAACCGTATTGATTCTTCCCATACATGTTTAGTAAATAACACCTATTGTTGGCTTTAGGTATACAATATAATTTTCATGTATAAATCACTAAGGTTCCTTGTTGTGGTCAGTGTATATAGTACTTTCTGTATCAGTGATGGTCTCACACCTTGTGAAGATAGGAGTAAAAGGGTTTATATGTGCCTACTCGAAAACCAAATTTGTGACGCAGGACACACTCTCTGTGCACCATTTTTCACAAGTCTTGTTCATGCTACCATCCACAGTCCACATATATAAATACATCTTCCCAGGTTCTTAATACCTACAGGGTTATTTACTAACGTGAAAATTAAAAGTTAATTTCAAATTTAAAGGAACACAAACGTTATCTTGGCACTATAGTGGTAAAATAACAGTTTAGGTTCTGGGCCCCCTCTTTTTACTTTAAAAAGGTGTCTAAGTTCACTTTTTTGCAGTGCCATGCAGGTCTCCCTGCGGCTGGCCTCACTTCGCCTCTGTGGCTGAGATCATCAAATTTGACAATCTCAGCCAATTCAATGTTTTCTCATAGGAAAGCATTGGGAAGCTATTGAATCAATGCATCTCTATGAGGAGCATTCAGCGCATATTGTGCAGCCCTGACCCAGGAAGCAACTCTAGTGGCCGTCTAAGTAACTGCACCTAGCAGTGTTACTAGGCTGTAATGTAAACACTGCTTTTTTTTTTTCCTCTGAAAAGGCAGTGTTTACATTAAAAAGCTTGCAGGGACAGACTATAGACACCATAACAACTACATTAAGCTGTAGTTGTTCTGGTGACTATAGTGTCCTTATAAGGCAGGAGTGGGGAACCTTCGGCCCTCCAGATGTTTTGGACTACATCTCTCATAATGCTCTTAGAGCCATAATGCCAGCAAAGCATCAAGGGAGATGTAGTCCACAACATCAGGAGGGTCGAAGGTTCCCCACCCCTGCTTTAACCCCTTAAGGACATGTGACATGTCATGATTCCCTTTTATTCCAGAAGTTTGGTCCTTAAGGGGTTAAGGCCAGGATAGCTTAATGGAAAGCATATATGACAGAACATTTTTCAAGTTCATCTGGTTTAATTCTCACTTTTGTAAATATCCCTCCTAGTGTAATGGTCACTGACTAGCGGGGACAACAGATGTAGTGCACGCTTTGCTGGTCAACAATTGGTACTTCTTAATGTTTCTACCTGGGCTAGTTTGGGGTGAATTGTCAACTGCCCCTTTAATGTATTTTTGAAGACAGCTCAACAAAACTGTCTCACCTTAAAGGGGCAGCTACAAATTAAAGGAAAACCATCACGTGTCTGAAAATTACCCCAATTAATTAATAACTGATAAATATAATATTTATGGCAGTTATTAAAAGGGACCAAGATACATGCGCTTGGTTCTAGGATAGAGGCAAATACAGCGAGGTGGATTTCGATATTTTTTTTTTTTCAGATCAACAGTGGAAATAAATAGACTAATGATGTTGTGTATATGGTTTACTAGTAATGCTCCTGTAGTTAAATACATACAAAGCGTGAGATTTTTGTAATCATTACATTTAAGGTGTTAGAGAACCTGTAGACTGTGTATGTTATCTTAATAACATCATGTCAACCGGTTTTAGATGATACTGTCCCTTTAACATGTTCTCCTACCAATAAAATGGCCGACGTCATTCCCCACAGGGAGTATTAATAATAATAATGTCTCCAGTGTGGAGTATTGAATGATGTGGGGTCGGCCATTTTACCTGAGCCCAATATTTACTGAAAGCTATATAGTTGTCTTCAACAAAATGTCTCCGAGAAAGGTCCCAATTAGAGAGTTCTCGAGCTCTAGTGTTTAAAACACGGTAACACAGTCTCCCTTGTCTCTCATCATCAAGGTCTAGTCCAATTACCAGACTCTCTGGTAGAGCCAATCAGCGCGTTATACGTCACACCACTGGAAAAAGAGCATCTTGCGCAGCAACAAACAAACGGGATGGACCAGTCTCCGCCCCTGGGCGTGGCGGCACAGCGAGGGGTGTGGCCGGCTGTAGGATATTTAATGGCTGGCAGTGGGCGGGCCCCCGCAGTCCGTGGGTTCCTCGGGAGCAGAAAGAGTAGTCCATCCCTGGCTGCGGTTCCGGGAGAGGCGGCAGGCACGATGAGTTCCGGCACCCCGTACATCGGCAGCAAGATCAGCCTGATCTCCAAGGCCCAGATCCGCTATGAGGGAATCCTGTACACCATCGACACCGACAACTCCACCGTGGCCCTAGCCAAAGGTGCGGGGCCCCACCGGAACTGCGTCACAGCCACCCCCCCCCACCTGCCCTGACTGGGGGTATCTACTGCTCCCCTCCCCCCCTCACCTGCCCTGACTGGGGGGCATCTACTGCTCCCCTCCCCCCCTCACCTGCCCTGACTGGGGGGCATCTACTGCTCCCCTCCCCCTCATGCTCCTCACCTCCCCTGCCTGACTGGGGTATCCCCTCCCCACCACTGCTCCCTCCCCCTCCCTGCTGGGGCATCTGCTACTGCCCTGACTGGGCATCTGCTGCTCCCCTCCCCCCATCTCTGCTCCCTCCCCCCTCACCTGCCCTGACTGGGGCATCTGCTCCTCCCCCCTCACCTGCTGGCGGGGGCATCTACTGCTCCCCCTCCCCTCACCTGCCCTGACTGGGGCATCACTGCTCCCCTCCCCCCTCACCTGCCCTACTGGGGGCATCTACCTCCCCCTCACCTGCCTGACTGGGGCACCTCCTCCACCTGCCCTGACTGGGGGCATCTACTGCTCCCCTCCCCCCTCACCTGCCTGGCTGGGGCATCTGCTCCCCTCCCCCTCCTGCCCTGCCTGACTGGGGCACTCTACTGCTCCCCTCCCCCCTCACCTGCCTGACTGGGGCATCTGCTCCCCCCCCTCACCTGCTGACTGGGGCATCTGCCTCCCCCCCCCTCACCTGCCCTGACTGGGGGCATCTGCTCCTCCCCCCCCCCCCTCCCTGACTGGGGCATCTACTGCTCCCCCCCCTCACCTGCCCCCCTGCTCCCCTCCCCCCTGCCTGCCTGACTGGGGGCATCTGCTGCTCCCCTCCCCCTCACCTGCCCTGGCCAGGGCATCTACCACTCTCCCTCCCCACCTGCCTGACTGGGGCATCTACCTGCTCCCCCCCCACCTGACTGGGGCATCTGCTCCCCCCTGCCTGCATCTACTGCTCCCCACTCCCCCCTGCCCTGACACTGGGGTATCTACTGCTCCCCCCCTCACCTGCCCTGACTGGGGTCATCTACTGCTCCCCTCCCCCTCACCTGCCTGACTGGGGTCATCTACTGCTCCCCTCACCTGCCTGACTGAGGCATCTGCCTCCCCTCCCCCTGACCTGCCTGACTGGGGCATCTGCACTCCCCTCCCCCTCACCTGCCCTGACTGCTCTACTGCTACTGCATCCCCTCCTCCCTCTTCACCTGGCCTGACAGGGCATCTACTGCTCCCCACCCATCTGGCCCTGACAGGGAGTTATTCCCCTCACCTGACCTGACAGGGGGTATTTCCTATCCATCCCCCTCACCTGCTCTGACAGTACCCATACTGCACTCTGGACATGCCTCCCGCTCACCTTGGCACTAGGACACAAAGCCATTAGTTGGAATAGGGCTTTATTGACTAAACACTTATAGGGACACTATAGCCCCTAAAGCCGTTTTTCTGTAATAATACAGTTTTGGTTTTTAAATGTCTCTAGGTCAATGGACTTTAAAGACTTTCCTTTCTGGAGCTAGGATCCAGGTTAACCAGTGAGTTTGTCTAATATGTGTACAGGCTATGTAGTACTAACTCCACACTGTTTGTTTCCCTTTTAGTGCGCTCATTTGGAACTGAAGATCGACCCACTGACCGTCCAGCCCCTCCTCGAGAAGAGGTTTATGAATATATCATATTCCGGGGCAGCGACATCAAGGACATCACTGTGTGTGAACCCCCCAAGGCCCAGCATGGCTTGCCCCAGGACCCTGCCATTGTCCAGGTGAAATCCTCTGGGCATCCTGGCTCTAACACCTGGTACTGGAGGGGTGGGCACTGACCTAAGCTGGCTTATTGCACATGACTGGCAGTCGATGCTGTGGTTTGATGAGTGTGCCCAGCTGTCTTCATGCAATGGTTGAACTAGAATTCCTGACATTTGTACTTGGCATGGCTCTGGTGGCTGCAACTGGTGACCTCTGATGTGCCTAGTCATGGCTGTCTCAGTGGCACTTGGGACCCGGAAGCCAATGGTTATTCTAAATGGATATGTCCATGATTAAAGCCCTCGGGAAGCTAGGTCTGGGGTGTTATACTGCCCCTACAGCTATTGTCGGATTTTTCTTAACTTGCTGCTGGTCTATAGCTAAGAGTTGTGCCAGTTGTAGTTGACTATCTGAGAGCCTCTGACATTAAATCGTGGTGACTTAATAAACAAGTTGTACATTGCCCGCTACTGAATGCATTAGCCATGGGTTAGTACAGTCAGTGAATGCATGTATGGGGCTCCACTCTCCCATAGAAGGAAATGTCATTAAATGCACTGAAAGTACGATCATTATCTCCATATAGTCTGTCTGCTTCAGGCCTTGGGTGTGACATGTACTAGTCGGCTGTTACATGACCTCTCGGTTTCCTCTGGCCAACCTACCCTGTGCTTTCTGATACAATTATAGTAATATCGCATGTAGCTAGCACTGGGAGACTCTCTGCTTGTTCCACCAATCCCCTTACATGGCCTGCTATATCAAGTCGCCCATCTGAGGTTTACAGTTACTCTGTTCTGCTCGACCTACAGTTGGTACTCTCTGCCTTTTTATGCATCCTGCCATTACTACTAATCCCTGGCTCACACCCCATAGTGCCCTGTCTTGCCATGCAATGTTTGCTTAATGTCTGAAAGCTGTACTCTCTGTATACAGAGCATCCGTGTAGAAACCAAAGAATTGGGAGGGGCACCTTTAATGTGTCACCTAGGGAGCAAGCAGATGTTAAGTCATGCTGTTTTTCTCTAGGTGAATTTAGAGCTAGAATTGGGGAGGTTATTGGTAGAATGTGAGTCATGTTAAGATCCCTGTAGCAGAAAGAGGATCCAGGCACTCTATATCACAGTATGTTTATTGGAACATGTGGGACACTGCAACTTTTCGACCCCTGATAGGGTCTTTGTCAAGCTTTAAGATCCCTGACATAATTTTTAATATCCAAACATTTGCAATGTCTAACAAAATAAACTAAGTTTTTCCACTAATATTTGCATTTTCTTGAAATGTTTATGTTCTAAAAGGTAAATAGAGACCATAACAATCTCTTTTAAAATGTGTTTTGCGTCTTGTATAGTAAAACATTATAAGCTACACCTTCCTAAATTGGTGTTATACCATGATTTTCAGGGGGGTTTTCCTTTTTGGATTTTCATGTTTGGTTACATCCTGCTGCTAACACAGAACACAGAGGATATAAAGGATAACGGTCTGTTGGTTATCTCCATGACTGCCTGTTCTAGAAGCAGGAAGTCTGTTTACTATACAAGATTTGGCCAAATGGCTTTCCTGAACATACTTTGCTCCTGAAAGATGGTTCCCCTCCAAGTAACGAGCTGACAGATCAGACTCAATGTTGTATATTGCTGTTAATACATAGTGTAGTTATGGGAAATGTAGTTGGGATAACGAGGCATGCCATCACTGCTAGGATTTGAAAGCCCCCACCTATACTCTGGCAGGGACTGCTTTGCATTGGGCTACCATTAACTGGCTTTTCTTTGACTTTCTCCCCTCAGTCATCTTTGGGCTCTGCCCCAGCTGCATCCTACCAGTCATCCGTGCCTTACAGCCCATTCCGAGGCATGCCAACCTACAGCCAGCTTGCTGCCACCTCCCTCCTCAACCAGCAATATGCTGCCTCACTGGGTTTGGGTAAGTGACTGTACTAATGTATTGTCCAAATTGAATAGTTACACTGGGATCCTACCACTGGCATTGCCACTTGCCCAAATGTTAAGGGTGCTACAGAAAGTACCCTAGCCTACCAGGACCAGTCTAATGCCCCAGCCCCTGTCTGGATGAATAAACTTACTGGAGTCTGCTGTATCTGGCTACCACTAGCTCACCTGGCTATCTGAGGCCTGCTTTCGTTTAGGCTATCAAACTTCAGTTTTGTACAAATCTCTCCATCCAGATAAGCTGGTGAGTCCCCCGGCATCAGCTGCGGCATCCAGCGCCTGCTCGTCCCCCTCACCGCAGCCTGCAATGCCAGAGCCGGATATCGTTGCCGATCCTGTACATCTCTCTTCTAAGGGTAACCGCAGGAAGCCATTCTGCATGTGGCTCAGTCAATAGGAATGCTCTGCCTTAAGCCCTGGGTGGTGGCCTTACAGATTCTGCTTTGCTAATATAACATTTCTTGGTCTGCCAACACAAACTTGTCCAGGTTTTAAAGCCTCTGAAATATGGAGCTTAGCTGGCTGTCAGCCAGCAGTGCAGCTTGTCTCCATATCTAAAGCTGACCCTTTCTATTTGAGGGCCAACGAACTCTGATCACTTGTAACCGATTTAGCTTAAAATTGATTTTACCAGACTGCAGCATAACCTGAGCATCTATCTGGTATCTGTAACGCCACATCTCAGCGGCCAGCATGCTTTACAAGCTTCCATTAAACTCAGCCCATAGACTTCCATATTACAACTCATCTGGCATGAATTGTTATAGCTTGGCATAATGGAGCATTAATTCATAGTCCTTTTTGTAATTTTCTTCATAGATCCCTTAGGATCCCTGCAGACTAGCAATTTGCCCATTTTTAGACTGGCCTTTGCCATTTTGATTTTAGCCTGACTATAGGTGACTGGGAGGATGTCATGCCATCCAGCTATGAGGATAGTATAATCCTTAATGTTATCCTTTACTCCACTTATTGACATGCCTTCATGGGTTGTTCCTTTTGACATTTGAAAGCCGGCAAACTACAAATCCCAGAAATCTCTGCTTTTCCCACATATCTTTGCTGCGCAGTGATTTTATGCATATTTACTGTGTAAAGTTGGCTAATCTGAGACTGTTGCATAGTCGGTGAGCTTTCCCACTTTACACTAAATGTGAGCCATTCAGATTGTATTTATATCATTCATAAACAAAGCCATTGCTATCTGGAGAGGTTTTTATAGCGCTTGTGTTGGGTATTCATCGCGCTTTTAAACTGCATCTGTCAAACAGAACATAAAACAGGTACTTGGTCAGCACAGTTGCATACTAGGAAATGTCATTTTATTGGCAGAATAATGCATGGATGGAAATTCCCTGGATCCCCAGCAGGTGGCGTAATACCTCCTAGTGAATGGCTCTTGTGTAAAACAATGTCTGACCTGCAGTTTGGATAAATTCTTCCATTTACTTAACTCTTAATCGGGCTTCAATCTAAACTCTGGGATTTGTTCAAGGTGCTGGGAATGTCCATGGCATGATCTATTCCTATTGGCCAGGGGCCAAGCGAATGCCCTGTGGGGGGTCCAGTGTAGAGGCCATGGTTTGTAGAACAGTGTCTATGCTTCTAGCCCTAGTTTAGAATCTGCTCTGTATGTGGAGGTTCTGATGGCTGAGTTTGTGTCTTGCCATGCTTTCCCGTCATTCTTCCTCCTGTGCCGTGTAAACAGTACAGTGTTACATGTTAAATCTATGCTTATCAGCTTCTGTTTCCTACAGTTACGCAGCGGGCGTTTCACCCATGGGTGGGGAGTGCTTTGACATGACCATTCTGATCTGGATAATGCTAATCTGTGATCATTCATGAAATTGGAAGTCCATTGGCCCACTAAAGTTAATCTACAACTGAAAGATCTTGAGACTTAATTAGTCCCAAGATGTCTTACTGCTGCATGGCCTGCCCTGTACCCGCTTTACTGTGTGCTTGCTGATCTGTATCTACCTGCTTGCTCTCTTCCTGTCTGTACCTGTTCCTGGCTCTGCTGACCCCAGCCAGTTCCGTACTATACTGTAAATTGTATTTTATTTTTTCCAGCAGCTGGCTTTCCCTCGATACCAGTAAGGAAAAGCCCCATGGTAGAGCAAGCTGTTCAGACTGGCCCTGTTGAAACTCTGGCCCAAAAGAAGTTGCAGCTGGGAAAGGGGCCTCCTATTGGCCAACTTGGAAACAGACAGGGTCCAATGCCAAGCCAGCCTGTGCCAGTGAATGGTAACTAACCTTGGAAATGCCATTCCACCACTGAGATCAAGCCATTGTCTTAGTCAGTCCTCCCTATAGTGACCTCAAAGGCACAGTCAGCAATCTCAGCATCTCATAGTACTGTACCACATAGGAAGCCTGCTCTGTTAATGCTAAGGAGTTGCTAGTCTGAGTGTCAGCGCTCACGTTTCAGAAAAAGAAGCAAAATAAGATCCGTGTATCTGCACTGCCTGGTGTGAGGTTTCCTGATGGGTATAAACCATTTAATCTCAGAGCGTTGTTACCAAAGCCATCCAAACCACTTCGTCTCTATCCTATATTTCAATGTAGTGGTCCTTTAAAGAAACACTATAGTCACCTTAATGACTTTAGCTAAATAAAGCAGTTTTAGTGTATAGATCATTCCCCTGCAATTTCACTGCTCAATTCACTGTCATTTAGGAGTTAAATAACTTTGTTTCTGTTTATGCAGCCCTAGCCACACCTCCCCTGGCTATGATTGACAGAGCCTGCATGAAAAAAAACTGGTTTCACTTTCAAACAGATGTAATTTACCTTAAATAATTGTATCTCAATATCTAAATTGAACTTTAATCACATACAGGAGGCTCTTGCAGGGTCTAGCAAGCTATTAATATAGCAGGGGATAAGAACATCTTAATTAAACAGAACTTGCAATAAAGAAAGCCTAAATAGGGCTCTCTTTACAGGAAGTGTTTATGGAAGGCTGTGCAAGTCACATGCAGGGAGGTGTGACTAGGGTTCATAAACAAAGGGATTTAACTCCTAAATGGCAGAGGATTGAGCAGTGAGGCTGCAGGGGCATGTTCTATACACCAAAACTGCTTCATTAAGCTAAAGTTGTTCAGGTGACTATAGTATCCCTTTAATTTAATACTGCAATGTTTACATTGCTGGGTTACACAGTTGCTGTCTTCTAGACAACCACTAGGAGACTTTGTATTCAGTCAAATGCTGCGCATTGAGATCATCTTATTGGGGCAGCATGGCAATTTGCCACATATGTACATTAGCCTTACTATTCTTCAATATGGTATTGGACTGACTCAGATCAATCTTGATCTCAGCCAGGGTGGCCGTGTGGAGACTACCGTGAAAGAGTAGCCGTAACTAGCTCATGGAGTTCTTTAAACTTCTCCTGTTGTATGAATTATTGACACTGTATAAGGGAGCTGGTAAATTTAAATGGTTTGTTTATCTGTACCATTATCCAGAAAGATATACTTTAAACAGTGTGGTTTACTAATGTGAACACATATCTGGAGTGTGTTAATAACCACTGTTCTCTCAGTGAAGCTCTGCAATGCTCCTGCTGGTGGTAAAGACTTCTGAAATCCGCCGTGGCAGGATTAAGCTGTGCCAAACTTAATACAGGACACAATTTAGGCTGCAAATGGTAATGCTGATTGCTGCCCATTGATGACTATGGCTTGTAGTACAGTCAATCATTAAAAGCTTCACTGTCTGACATTTTTCTACAGTTCCTCAACCCACAGCACCAACTCCAGGGACGATAAATGATGAGAATAGGCGACCCCCAAGACGAAGATCAGGTAATGAAGACCCGGCGATACATACATAGAAAATACTAAATATGCAAAAATGTTGAAATACAGCCAATCTCTCTCCCAGCAATGGCAAGGCATACAATTCCAGACCGGAATAGTGGGAACTCTTATAAAAATGGAGAATGTATTGATGGTGCAAGGCGCCAATAAAGCAAAAGCATTGACCAATTTAGTCTGCATAACTTAATAATCCGTGTGATCATATTTTAAATTCTGGATACAGTTGGTATCAGTCCTACAGGTTTCATCACCAAGAGTAACTCCCTCCCCATGCTTCCATTGGTCCAGATAGTTATTATATTGCTGTGATATTTAATAAATCAGACCCCAGGCTGTTACTCCTAGTTAGGTCTCATTATCTAAGCTGTTTCTCCACTGGGAGATCTAGTTATCTCGGGGCTGTTTCTCCACTGGGAGATCTAGTTAGTTATCTCTGGTTGTGCGTAGTGTTGCTGTTTTACCATTATTTGAACTAGCATCTTGGGTTTCAGTACTCCTTTTCTTTAAGCTTTTTGGGAAGCAGGGGGACAACAACTGGTCTTTCAACAAAGTAACTGACTTGGCAGGTAACCGGCGAACAAGAAACAGATCTCGTGGCCAGACCAAACCAACCACAGTGAAGGAAAACGCTATAAAGTTTGAAGGAGACTTTGATTTTGAAAGTGCAAATGCTCAGTTTAACCGTGAGGAACTGGACAAGGAGTTTAAAGATAAATTAAACCTGAAAGGTGAGTATGACTAAAATAAATCTAAAGGTGATGCTGCATATGTCCTAACAATACTGTATAATCTGACAGATGACAAGCCGGAGAAAGAGGGCGAGGAGAAGGGAGACTCTGGAGTGGAAACGCAAAACAGTGATGGCTCTCCAGAAGAAGATCCTCTGGGACCAAACATTTACTATGACCGGTCAAAGTCTTTCTTCGACAACATTTCTTCAGAGATGAAATCCAGGTAAACCGTGTTTTTAGAAGCGGCAGATCATCCCTATTTGACCAGAATTGGATGCATTCATTGTTTCCGATCTGGTATGATGTGGCAGTATGTACTTGTTATAAGATAATGTCTGTATAGAAACACTGTCACACCTTGCTACTTTCATAACCTGACAGAATTCCCTCAAGCTCTGCAGAGGGCCTCAGCACCATAATGGCTACAGCAGATTTTGGCTAGAATACTTGGTGTCCTGTTAATGCTGTAGATAAAATCTGCACCATTTAAATACTTCCCAGCTTTTCAGTTGCCTTATTGAACATAGACCTAGAACAATAATTAGCTGTTGAACTAAAATTTCCATGTAGCTTTGCTAGACATCATGTATGGGGGTAAAGCATGAAGGAAGCTGGGGGGCCTCCTGGCAATAAAAGATAATCCCTATTTTGCTGGCTCCTGTGACATGCCAATACAACCACTTGAGTAGATTTTTATTTTTTTTTCCCCAATATAAAATGGGGTTCAGTAGGTCCATTGCTGCCCAGAACCATTGCTCTGTTTCTATTGCCCTGAGATACAACAGAGGAGGCTCTTGGTGACTAGGACCTCCTGATGGCACAGCTTACTAGTGAATCTCTGATCCTGTAGACCAGATTCCATAGCTAGTAATGGTAAAGCCAGTCTTCCGATTCCCATACCACTCTCATTGGGGATATTGATAAAGGCTTAGATTAGTGGGAAGATTAGAGCATATCTCTTAGATGTCACTCAAGTAATCGGACTGTCTTATTTCAGACGCACTACATGGGCAGAAGAGAGGAAGCTGAACACTGAAACATTTGGAGTCTCTGGCAGATTTCTCAGGGGCCGAAGCTTCCGTGGTGGATTTCGTGGTGGTAGGGGAAGCGGTGCTCCTCGCAGAAACCAGACTACGCAGAGGGCTGGGACTGGGAGAGTGTGACAACCAGGGACAAAATACTATCTGCAGATGAACTTGTCTTCCATATTTTCCCTTCCCGATGCATTGTAGCAAATTGTTATGACCCAGTGGCATGTCTCCAGTACTGGGTGTGGAACCTGTGTGGTTAGGAGGTAGACTGATGGTCACACTTTAGGAAGCTGCTGGTGGATGAGCAGCTGGATTTGAGCCCCAAACTAGTGATTTGTGGCAAAACCTCAAACCCTCTTACTTTTTAAGTTGCATATTTTTTTTTCAGTGGCCAGCTTTTAGTGGTGGGAGTCTTACTTTGCTGGAGCCCATATGATCTCCCTCCTGTGCTCAGAGTGCTAGTATCTTAATTCTATACTGCCACTCAGGAGTTTTTTTTTTTTTTGTTTTTTTTTAATGGTGCATAAGCAGTACTGTGGGTGGTGGGTTTTTAAACACCCTTTCTTTTCTTTAAGAGCACTTGTTTTCAGTATTGCCAGGTACAAAAAGCAAAGCCACCTGGGTGGAGACAAATATGTGTATATATAACCAAAAACCCTGACTACTGCTGATCAACCATATTGCGCTGACTTCTAATGCTTCTTACAGCACACAAAGCTGGGCTATTCCTGCCAAAATAGCTTGGGCCTGTAAGAACAAGGCAAAAGCTTGCATGAGAGGGTGAATTCAAGTAACTTTTCTTTGTCTTGTCTTGTATTTCTTTGTTTTATTTTGCGAAATAAAATGCACTTATCCGGTATTGTCAATGACCCCAAATGACAATTTTTAAGTTATGCATTAAATAAGTTAAAATGAAGTGTCTTTATTTTTGTAGAAGTCTGGTGGAATAAACCAGTAGCCACGGGGATGTGATGTAAATTGTAATCTGACAATAAACCGACAAATGTTTAATACGTCTTGCGTTATTTTTCTTTGGCCAACAAGCTCTCATACTTGTTGTGCCACCACATGGATATTGTCCCTATATTAAAACATCCTGGAAGACTCCTGGTAAGTGGATTCTAGATGCATCAGGTGGAAGGCAAATGTAGTAAAACCTATTGGTGCCTTTTTGTTTGGCCTGATTTTTCTATGGGTCCTGTAGCACGCTGCATGCCCACCTAGCCGCTCTCCCACTGTTTGTATTCTAAACACTACCTTTAACTGGATAGCTGCAGTCAAGAATTCCAATCCTTTGTCCTTCCCTCCAACATGTTAGTTGAATAACGTGCTCAGGATGTACAGCAAGCATGTCAAACTCGGTCTAGCAAGGCCTAAATAAACCAGGTTTACGTTTGTGGGCCGCAAAACACTTATCAGAGAAATGTAGGTTTATTTTGAAAAGTACAGTATTAAAAATAACCACTGGATCCTGTGCTGCCCATGTGTGCTAGCACTCCTCCACAGCAAGGTCCTGGAAGGGAAGTAAAGCTAGTTTTACGCTTTCATTGTAGTCAGTGCATCCACTAAGAAAGGAGGGAGAAGATTTCAGTTTAAAAGGCATGTTTAATTTAACAGGCCAAATTTTAAGTGAAGAACAAATTAATATTTTACAAAAGGGCTTGAAATTCGCCCCTACTGCTGATTTTTATTTTTTTTTTTGTAGATATAAATCATTTTATAAGAAAATTGTGCTTAGTTTCCCTAATAATAAAGATAAAAAGGAGGTGGCCGAAAATGAGGAATTCTTTCACACCCTTAAAAGAAAAATCTAAATTCTTTCCGAGACACCTATTTTCCAATGAAATTAAATCATTCAAAATAATGGTTATGAATAATGTGGAAAATTAATAAATACCAACATAATCTAACACTAAGAGGAAAAAAGGGCCCTTAAAGAAATTAAAAATGACAAACTTAATAGTAAAACCAGCGGATAAAGGAGGTGGAATAGTGATTCAGAGTAAAGAACTATGTCACAGAAGCGGAACGGATACTTTCAGACCAGTCTACTTATCAAAAACTAACTCCTAACCCAACACAGAAAATTATTATGACTTTCAAAGAGTATGTAAATAAGGGTGAGGAGTTAGGAATATTAAATGAAAAAGAAGCTGAGTATATGTTTGTAGAAACTCCTAAAATCCCAGTCTTCTACACTTTACCGAAAATCCATAAAAATATTCAAAACCCACCTGGAAGACAAATAATATCAGGTATTAACTCAATCTCAACTAGAATTTCGGAGTATATCAATAATTTACTCCAACAGATAGTTATAAAGAACCAGTCTTATTTGAAAGATTCCATTCATTTTTTGCAAATTATAGAAGATACCGAGTGGGTAGACGGATACCAGATGGTTACATGTGACGTCACCTCCTTATACAGTATCATTCCACATGATAAAGGAATAATGGCAGTAAAACACTTTTTAGAACTATCAAATTTTAAAGATGAACAGATAAATTTTATTTTAGAGGTAATTTTAACCAATAACACTTTTTGGTTCGATAATTTTTATCTTCAAATTTGCGCCACGGCAATGGGCACCAAGTTTGCCCCAAGTTACGCAAACCTTTTTATGGCGTTTTGTGAAGAATCTTTTGTTCTCCAGGGGAACAAATGAAGTGCAAATTTGGTGTCCTATTGCCGGTTTATAGACGATATATTTTTTTATATGGACGGGTGCAACAGAAGAACTGGAGAATTTTATTGTATTTTTGAATGCCAATGATTTTGGAATAAACCTAACTAGTTGCAACAGTACGAAACAAATAGAGTTCCTAGACATACAAATTGATATCCAAGAATAAAAAATGGTTAAGAAAAATTATTTTAAACCCATGGATGCAAACAGTTATATTGAAAAAACGGACTTGTACACGAGATTCGGACTATTTACAACAATCCAATTATATAAAAAAAACTATATATGGAAAAGGGGTATAGTGAACAAATTTTAGAGAAGGAAATGGAGGAAATTAGACAATTACCAAGAAAAACACTTTTGAAATATAAACAACAAAAAAGTAAAACGAATCAAAATGATGAAGTTCCCTTCATTTGTAACTATA